GTGTGTGTGTGTGTGTGTGTGTGTGTGTGTGTGTGTGTGTGTGTGTGTGTGTGTGTGTGTGTGAGATAAAAACTGCATTAATCAATGATTTTCTTTCTGTGTGAATTACACACCTCACCTCACATACAGAAGAACGTTTGTGGTACTTTTTTTTGTTAATTGTTTAAGAGCAATAAAGTTATTTGTTTATCGAATAAGGGCTTTTTTAAACACATACGCACCTGCAGCTAGCTAAACTTTACAGAAACAGGCTCAAACTAAAAAACTGTAATAAGGAATTACCATAAAAGGAAGTTTCGGGTTTGGTTTCGGTTTCGGCCGAAACTGAGACAGAAACCGAAATTCGGTTTCGGTTTCGGTTTCGGTTTCGGTTGTAAAAACTAGTTTCGGTCGGACACTAAAATATAGTTTTCTCCGGCGAGACCGGAGACGATCGAGACGTGTGACGGAGAGAAACGACACGATTTGCGAAAGATCTTCGCGATGCGATATTGTTGCCGTCGGTTGATGACGATTGTGAGTCATACGTATGTAAATTACTCTGCAATCTTATAAGGTGGAGGTCAGTGCCTTGTTCGGTCGCGATGCACCGGTGCGAAGCGTATCGCTTTTGTCGAAAATCGCAATTGTGTGTTTCGACGAGATTTTTTCCAACGATCTTGGAGGAACTTGTTGAAAATGAAATCTCTCGTGTTTCAGATCTAATACACTGCACGAACGAGCCAAACGTCTCCATACCGCAGCTAGCTAATCTTCTGATCGAGCGCTCGCAAAACACAAACTGGACGGTGGTTTTCAAAGCCCTGATAACTGTGCATCACATGATGTGCTATGGCAACGAGGTAAGTTATGTATCCTTTATCTTTCAATCAAGAAATGCAACACGGGCGCACACGTGTGCATCTTTCTGAAATGAGAGAAATAATTTTTCTGTTCTCAGAGATTTACGCAATATCTCGCCTCCAGCAACAGCACCTTTCAGCTCAGCAACTTCCTCGACAAGAGCGGCGTACAAGGTGATATTTCATAAATAATTAGATTTGGCATTTTTTTTCTTTTTAATTAATATAATTAAGAGATATGAAATTGTTTCTCTTTAAAGAGAAGCGAAAGATTAACATTTATTTCCGTATTAACACGAGACCACGCGGCACGAGAGATGCGCACGGCTTTCTGCACTATTTTGCTTTAAAAAAAATTTTTTTCTAGAAACATTCGTGCACAATGACAACTGACCCGATCGGTGTTTGATACGACATGCTCGCGTCGCATGAATAATTGCAACACACGTCGTAATTTGAATAGTTCGATCGCGAACACTTCAGTTCTCAAGCGAAGAACGCATTTACACGGAGAAGTCTAATAACTTTACTCACCAATTAAATTTCTCTTCCTCTTTCTCTCTCTTTCTCTCTTGTTGCGTACAACGTAAATTAATTATTACACGTCACTCGGACAAATGATCACGAATTCAACAACGCGAAATTGTCCGATTTTATAATACAGCACGTCGTGTTCAAAATTCCTAACTAACTTTTTTTCGCATTGCGCTGTTACTCATATGGAAAATGCGAATCTTTCTCTTTTCCATGTATCTGGCATCTGTGTGTGTGTGTACGATTTACTAATCTGGACTAACTTTCTATCTCTTTGGGCACGAAGCAGGGATACGCGTGGGTGAGTTCAATCACAAGATACAACATCTCGTCCTTCGTGTTTTGTTTTTTGTATTACTTGATACACGTTAGTAATAACGCTTCATAGTTTTATAAGTATATGCGTTTAATTGATTGTTTTTTTTGTTTTTGACGTTGTAAAAGCAGAACCAAAAAATCTAAAACGTCTAATACATGTGTTTATTTTGAAGAGTAAATTTAAAGTAATCCACGATCATGCGAAAGTTAAATGAATTGTCATAAAAACGATATGACTGGGTGTGCGAGATGCTTGACAAAAAAAAATTATTATTTTTAACCGAGTCCAACACGCAACGCTTATATAATGAGAATATTATGGGAAATTAATGCACACCGGCTCACCGTTGACTTTCTAATTTCACTTTTACGCATTGTTGCGTGGCTCCACCTATTAGTGCTTTTTTAATGTGCTCCAGTGACACATGAGCGGAAAGAAGAATAATAATTCGTGTTTCTCTTTGTTCTTTTTTTTTTTTTTTTTTTTACATTATCAGGTTATGACATGTCGCCGTTCATCAGGCGATACGCCAAATATCTCAATGAGAAGGCTCTGTCCTACAGAACGGTAGCGTTTGACTTCTGCAAAGTGAAAAGAGGGTACGTGGTCAGGTCAACACTTTTATGCTTTTATCCCTTTTTAAAAGCTCTTTTCCGATTTTTTCTTCTTCTTTTTTCTTTTTGTTTTTTTTTTTTTTTTTTTGATATTTTGGTGAGAGAATTTTACTTTCATCGCCGATTACTTAACGTTGCAGGAAAGAAGATGGCACTTTACGCACAATGAATGCCGAGAAACTTTTAAAAACTTTGCCGGTACTGCAATCGCAACTCGATGCTCTGTTGGAATTCGATTGCACGGCTAACGACCTCACAAATGGCGTCATAAACATGGCCTTCATGCTTCTCTTTCGAGATCTTATCCGGTTATTCGCTTGCTATAATGACGGCATCATTAATCTCTTAGGTAACACTGTTTAGTATTCTTCTTTCTTCTGTTTTATGTGCAAAAAATCGTATTTGAGGATTGCTAATGTCGAAAGACTGTAATTGTTTTAGAAAAATATTTTGACATGAACAAAAAGCAGTGCCGGGACGCTTTAGATCTCTATAAAAAGTTTCTCATACGCATGGATAGAGTCGGAGAATTTCTGAAGGTCGCGGAAGTAAGTTGCACGATTTTTGAAATCAAAACTTAAAAACTAATTGATCAAAACGAATACGGGAATGTAATCGATTGTATAATTTGTTCTTTACTTTTGCAGAACGTTGGTATCGATAAAGGAGACATACCAGATTTGACAAAGGTGAGTACACATAAAAAAAAACATCAAAGGCTTATTATTCTATTACGCTCTATCGACTGATAAAGGTCTACCGGTACTTAACAATCGGTTAGGATTTCGAAGAATAATTTAATACAATAAGTAAAATTATCGATAAAGTATTTAAATATTTTCTTGTTCCTCTTGTACGTTATATTGTGACAGGTAATAAAATCACTACTTCAACAAGGTAGAGAGTTTAGTAATAGAACAGCAGCGTAGTTTAGAATAGAACTTAGAGAACTGATTTTGGGAGATTTGGTAGAGCCAATCATGTACATCAAGTATTTTAATCGAATTAAAACAATTTTATATATATATATTTAAGATTAGACAGATATTTAACATTAAACTGACGAAATCTCCTGAACAGATAAATGCATGTATTTCAGCACCGAGGATTGTTTCCTCAAGACTAAAATCGCACACTAAAATCTATCTTGATTTTTATCAAAGAGAATCTAACAATCTCCATAAATGACTGTAAAACATTTTTCTAGGCACCAAGTAGCTTATTAGACGCCTTAGAACAACATCTCGCGTCGTTGGAGGGAAAGAAAGGTTCCGCCGCGAACACACCCACACAGTCCGCAAGGTATGTCGACATTTTTTTTCACTTATCCATCTCATTTTCTCTCTCACACAACACGATCACTGTAGGATTATTAAATTTAAACATCCTTACGCTGAATGCTCTACTGAATACTTAACTTCTCCCATACTTCTCCCGAAAGTCCATCGGTTTCTTTATTTTTTTGATCAAACATTTTTTCACATTCTGACGCTCCGAAACACTTTCGCACACTTCTTCTACGAAGCTTTTGAAATGAATGTATCTCTCTCTTCTTTCGAACATGCACGTACAACATTTGTACAACATTCAACTTTGTGAGTTTGTTTCGAATACTGTATCGTTGATTTTCACGCAAATTACGATTATTTGTGTTATTTATTATGATTTATTCTAAACTCTTGACCAACATGTGAAACTCTCATCGATAATTTTGTCTGGAGATATGAGGTTAATTTTTTATACTATTTAATATTTTTAATTCAAGAGATTAGTTTTAAAATATTTTTGCACAAGATATATTTACATTTGTATCCCGATCCATTATAGACATCCACGTTATGTTTCTAAATTTGAAATTTCCAATTTTTTTGTAGTTTGCATATTTCCGGAATTATTACTTAATTACCGCCAGTTTCTCACTTGTGTGATATACTGCATGAATGAACTTACAGTAAAACAGGTCCAGATAATTGTGTGACATAGTTTCCTTATAACATTATAATCGACATAGTTCCCTTATAGTTCATTGATATAGTGAAATATTAAGGATGCTACAATAAAACATACTGTTTTAATTGATTAATAATACCTAATAGTGCTAATATAATCTCGTTTTTCAAACCTAACTCATCGAAACATAAATTAGAATTATTAAAATGTAATTTATCTCGAACTATATCTAAATATTATTTATATAAGAGCTGCGTATTGTATTTTAATGCACATGTATTTATCTGCGTATACAACATCCGTATCATTATTGTACTCTACAAATACTATTCCGGCTGTTTAAAAATAATCAGAATATATCTTTACATTGACATACATCACGTAATGTAATTTGATTCGCAGATTAGATTAATTTCGTGCTACTTTTTAGTTGTGAAGAGTAGAACACACTAAATAAATGCATGTGTATAGTAAGAAATTGGGAAAAGAGAACGCGTGAATGAGCGTGTGAGAAAGAGAGGAAGTAAGGATGAACGTGCGAGTGAATGAATTGCACACTATGCATTTTCTATACGCATTGTTACGTCTATACGTACTACACCGTTTGTTTTTTTGTTTTTTTGTTTGTCTCTTATCCTTTGGTTTCAATTATCAATTTTCCTTTACGCTCCTCTCACGCCACATTATTATAAACTCGCTCTGAAACGGATCTTTTCCGTATTCTTCTTGCCCGTATCCCTTCTTTTCCCACTCCGTCCCTCAAAACCAAAAAAAAAAAAAAAAAAAAAAAAAAAAAAAAAAAAAAAAAAAAAAAAAAAAACATATCCGAAACACATCCCATCATCGGCCAAAAGCAGCAATAGAACCAATGTAAAGTCGGGAGTGTCCGCCCTGTCTTCCACCAGTAACGCGTTCGGAACAGCGGCGAGCAACGCGCGACTCGATCAAACCGGGAACGGCCACATTGACGAGGCACTACGACAACAAGCTCTCGCGGAAGAGGAAGCCGCCATGAATCAATACAAGGTATCGCGTTTTGCCGTTTATAATATTTATGTGTCGAAATAAAACGCGAAACATTCTACCAACGTGCGCGGTGAAATTTCAGATTGCGATATAAATTCAATATCTCAACTTTCAAATGTGTGATCTACTTTTATTTTATTATTTTATTTGATTCTGAATTTTACAGAATATTTGTATAACTCTTACTTAAATTCTTTTTTTTTTCATGGTTTAGATATTCAGAAATAAATATGATACTAATTTGTAATATATATATATATATATATGTAATGCAGGCAAAAGTACAATCGCCATCGAGTATTAGCACAAATCCCTTCCTCAGTTCACCGACTAATAATGCTAACCAACCGATCGTGGATTTATTCGGCGCCGCACCAGCATCCGAACAGGTACGCTGTTATTTAGTCGCGCTCGCGGCGAGTTTAATCGATGCAATTTCATGCAAAATATAATCCATTGTTTCAGCAACAATCTTCGCAAAAGGCGTCGGACGATCTGCTGCAATTGGCAGGCAATCCGTTCGCCAACATGTTTGGAGCGCCACAACCGACTGTGCCTGCTACGCAACCTGCTGCGCAGAACAACATGTGGATGACCAATGGTACTGCCGAGCGCAAGCACTTATATCGTGATCATCATTGCTTCTTTTTTCATCATCGCGCTTAATTTTGATAATTTTCCCTTCTGATTTTGTTTTCTTCATTTTCGATTTTTTTATCTTTTAGGTTTTGCGCCAACCGCGCCAGTGGCAAATAACAATTTTGTTACAGATAATAATTTTTCTTCTGTATTCGGACATCCAGATCAGCAATCTAGTAAGTGCTTAAGCGAAATAGATACACATAAGCGAAATTTATATATAAGCGCCTTCACGATTGAGACTGTGCACTTTCGTTCTTTTTTGCTCTATCACGTTTACATGTACTTTTCTCTTTCTATTTTCGCGATCACTCTTATGATATTTTTGCATCATACTCTCTCTTCTTTTTGTTTCTCTTTTTAACATATTAATGCGGACATATTAATGATCGCAAGGCATTTTATATTGCTATCTTGTTTGGTGACAGAAAAACAAGCTAACCTATGCACCTTGATCACTTTCTGTGCAAGCTGGCGCCCAAGGAATGGCCGCGTCCGTACCTAATCCCTTCATGTCCGATTTCCCGTCCCTCGGTGCCACCGGCGCTCAACCAACGACGCAGAACGCGGCCGCCTTCGGGCTCTTTGATCAGAACGATCCAGCGCAAGGGGCGCCGAGCGGTGATCTCTTCAGTGCCGGTCAAATGGATCTTTTCGGGAGTGACGGATCCGCCGCTGCCGCTGCCGGCACCAACGCGATGCTGAAAACCGCCGCGAACGGCGGAGAAGGGGACTCCGCGGCGGTCGAGGTAGTGGCGTCGACGGCGCCAGGCGCCGTCGGCAAAACGTCATCTACTGCCACGCCACCACCTAGACCACCGCCACCCGTAAGCGCCGTCGCTGCTGCGAACGGCGCTGTACCGCGTGCAATGTCTCCGACCGTCGGTGGCAGCGGAGCATCGCATGGTAGGCCAGCGGCGGCGTCGGCGGCCGCTTCTAGCAAGAGCGCGTTCGATGATCTCAATGATAGTATACGCATGGCACTGGGCGGATCTCCGTCGCGTCCGGCACCCATGGTACAGCAGCAGCAGGCTGCGATGACCGCCCAGCAACAACCATTGCAACAACAACAAATGCCGGCAGCGGCGGCAGGTGCCGGTATGTTCAACTTGAACGACGCTGCCGGTCAACCCATGATGCCCGGCGCGCCGATCGGCTACGGTATTCCTCCCCAAGCCCAAGTCCCCGTGGGGTACGGTTCGCCGGCAAAGCAGCCGATGTCAGGTGACGGGAATGCTAAATTAACCCTGACTAATTGCATGAGAGTTGCGTTTGCTTATTTTCTGCTAAATATGTTTTCTTATATCTTCTTATTTTTTTTCTTTTATCTGATTGTCTGTGTTATGTGTGGGATTTCAGACGATGCAAGATGTAAAGTCGTTTTTGTATTGTTGTACAATACATCAAATGTATACTTAAGCATATGACAGCTTGAGCTATAATTCTCCATGTAATGTTAGTGTTAGCGTGAGAAGATAAGCGTGTTATTTGTACTGTTTATCACGTTTACAAAAATCACGGAAGCAAGATGGATTACATCATATGTTGAATTCAATCATGCTTAGAACCAATGTGAGATAACCTTTGATTGTAATTTCTGTTTATATGTAGTTCACGAGATTTAATTGATTTATGTAATATAATCTCTGCATGTTACCATTTATGATTAATTGTGATTGTACAAAGTACAAACGCCGGTCGCGCAATATTAGAAATTCACGACTCTTTATGACTAGATCTCTTAGTACTTTGTGTTTTATCAAATAATGTGTATATTGTTTCGAATTCTCTGTTTAATTTAGTAAATCAGTACGTTTTTATGTTTTATGTTATCGCAATTTGCTTTATAAATCGCTGTTTAGTTTTTTTTCTTCTTTTTTTATTCGAGATTGCTAACGTAAATGTTGCGCTCATTTTGTTCTATAAATTTTATGGGTTTTATATCGATATCAGTATAAATGCACATTTTGAGGTAACATTATTGCAGCCGCGGGACAACCGGTTGGCGCGACCAGCACCGGGAAAGTTTTGACCGGAGATTTGGATAGCAGCCTCGCTAGCCTTGCACAGAACTTGACTATCAATAAGAGTGCTCAGCAACAAGTCAAGTGAGTGTGACCGCATTTTCATATTCCTACCTACGTTGGAATGTGATTCATATAAACACGCAATAAATGACGCAAGTGTACCAGTGACATTTCTGGAAAAGAAATTGATATTTTTTTTTTTTTTCGCAGAGGAATGCAATGGAATTCACCAAAGAATGCCGCTAAAACTGGCGGCCCGGCCGGTGGCTGGTCACCGCAACCAATGGCAGCTACAACCGGTGCTGGATATCGGCCTATGGTGAGCTTCAAACATTTCTCTCCTATGTCGTTGTTCTAGAAAGTATTCTCAGCACGCTTTTGACTGTTAGTAGTTCACAAAGACACATTTGTTGATCATCTACCGCTGTGCATTATTCCGAAAAAATTAAATCTTCTGTTTATCTGCGACCGAACTTAGATATTCTCATGTTGTAATACTTAGATTTCGACTACATATCATTTGTTCATATTTCTCGTTGAATCACAAAAAGTCTCTATTACATATTACATTAGCTGTCTATCGACCGTGCTGAGTGCATAGTAATATTTAGGAACTTTTAGCTCATTCTTGATATGATGTACGTACAATGAGATTTATTTACAAACTACTGCGCATCGTGGGACTCTGTTACGTTCTTCGATTTAATTTTCTCGTCAAGCTGCTCCCTTTAGGTGAGTGTGATGCATGCGCAGCATACGGCATGTTATCGGCTATGTTACAGGGTCAGGGAATGACGCAACTGCTACCTGCGACCACTACAACTATGGGTTTTCCTTCGCAGTCCGCAATAATGGTAAGTTCCACGACTATCACGAAAGTCTATTTATCACACAGTGAAAGAATAGAACGTCAAACTCATTAGAGTTCATCACACGCAGTTTTACGAGCGTCTGTGTAAGAGAATAATATGTGATAACACAAAACATGTCACTAACCCCCGTAAATAATGACGTGAGATAACGCCACGACTCGACACTTCTGTTGCATTATATGCTTTTGCGCATCAATATGTATTTCCTAGCGCACGTTTTCAGAATGATAGTAGATCGTAGTAATTTCTATTGTTTACAAATTAGTTTAAGATTTATTACACGTTGGCTGTAACTCGCTTCAAAGACTTATTCAGACAGCACTTGTTTCTATCAGACGATTTAAGAACGTCTTATTGTGTTTTTTTAGACATCTTTAAGATGTCTTTCTGTGCTGTCTGGGTAGTTAATAACAACGTGGGTAAGTTAGATTCATGCAAAATATTGTTGTGATTACAAACACACATTAATTTATTTTGCCAGCAAGATAATATATATGTAAAACAATTCCACAAACAGTTAAAACGAGAAACTGCAAATTTATAAGTTTTTTTAACTGCCATTTGAATTTTTCTTATCTAATGAATCTTAACAATCTTGTCGATCGGCCGTTATTACTTTGACGTTAACGAGAACAATGTGAAAAATTTAACAGGCACACGCTTTATTTTGTACATCTCATTTTCGTTGCTCTCTGGTGTCTGTAGGGTATGCAAGGTATGCCGATGGGCATGCAGGGTATGCAGGGTATGAGGCCGATGATGTGTCCTATTCCGGGTGCTCCCGCCGCCGGCGGCGGTATGATGGTTGCGGGTGGAGCTGCGCCTATGATGGCCATGCCCGGCGCGAATCCCATGATGACCGGTCCTAGCTTGCAGCAGCAGCAGCATCCTCAGTCTCAGCCTCAGCCTGCTGCAGCAGCTCAGCCACAGGGCAACGCTGTCCAACTCGATCCCTTCGGTGCTTTGTGAAGGGATTAGGTACTTATCCCCTCCGGTTTACGATTATTGCGACGCGCGGCTAAGAAAACTTTGCACGTGTTGCAAACAATTTTTGTCCCAAAGCTAAAAATGTTTTATTCGTGATCCGAGTATGCGATATACAAGTATGCGCGTCCAACATCGGAAAAATATTGTACAATAATCTTTGTGACTCATATGTGTGATTAATATCACGTGTAACATTTCTTAACTCCGTATTGTTAATCTAATTCTGGACAATCTGTGATTACGAACCAGAAAAGTCTGACTACGCTATGTTACTAATGTGATGCCATTGTGTGTTCCATCTTGTCTCTATTACTCACGATTCACTGACAATTTATGTAAAATTGAATCGTGAATATATAATCGAAAGACAATTTAAATTATAAAATTAACATAACGAACGTGTGATATGTCTCTCATTTTCCCGTATATTAAAGCGAATAAATCTGTGTTTCAGGATTCCAAGTGAAATTGAGAAGATGCAGCGAGAATTGTAAATATCGTGTAATATGCCTAGAATGAAAAAAAGAAAAGAAAAAATAATAATATGTCCCGCTTATTTCCATGAAGCATGGCCCGGTCAATCGCGGATTGATCGTCATTCGAATCGTTTTCATTGTGAATATGGTAAATTGTATCATACTTCCTATATCTCATATGTTCACCGAGTGTGTAATACGCGTTACACTTCGATATAGCGTTGTTTCCCGTGTAGCATTGGTTTATGTAAAATTTGGTAAATATTCAAATAAACGTTGGTTTTTGTTTTCTGCCTCCGTAGAGAGCGCGAGTCGATCGAATCTGAAAATTACGGGTAAATCTGCGCGTCGGGATCTCATCGATTTCAATGATCTTAGGAACTGAGCGAGAAGAGAATCTGATTCTTTTCCTCTGGCTTCGAGGTCAATAAAATCGATGACGGATCGTTCTTAATTTCTCTGCACGTGTTTATTTGTGAATATTAACTTAGGCCGATGCTCAAACGGGAAACCGGATAAGGCGCTTTTTTCCGCCTTGAAATCCGTAGCCGCGCATAATTATGTAGCTTAGAGAAGAATTGTTCTAATGCGCGAATTGCGTTTAGAATGGACACGAACGTTGCGTTCACGCTGTGAATTTTTTCCTGGTGAGGATTAACTGTGATAGTACTACGGTATGTGTTGCATTGAACAGTTTTTCTTCGTTGATATTAATGATATTAATTGAGTCGAATAATGAGGTTCGAATGTTAAGCCTATTGTCGAAGATGCATTTCTAAGTTCGATGAAAGATTTCCATAATTAATTACGTAGCAATATTTAGGTACGATTAGTTGTTATTAAAAACAAAAACGAAAAAAAGGAGAAGAGATGTGATCGGAGTGAGGATCGGGTTTTATCGTCTCCGATTGAAATTTAATTCGGATACGATAAAACTGAACCCCTTTATTAAATCGGTTATTATCAAAACGCGTTATCGAACGTGATCGACGCTTCGATGGTTCGTTATGGTTCTAAACGTAATCGCGTTAGATTATATATACATGTAGTTAAACGATTGCACGTACTAATATAGTTGCGTAAAAAAGAAACTTATAAAAAGAAACAGAGCGGTAAAGCGCAAAAGAATCAACTTAAAACAAATTTATGTCGAGCATATCCTCGCTGTAAGATATATACATATATGTATTGTTCTAAACGAGAATGCACGGATATATATATATGCATGATTTTGAAGAAAAATTCACGAGAGGAAGGTTCAGGAAGAGAAACAGAGGAAAAGAGTGAGTGAGAGAGAAAAGAAACGCGCGCGCGTTACGAGTGCGCGATACGAGTTGAACAGGAGAATTTATCTGTATACCGTTCGGCGATATCTTAATTAGACAGCATTAATCGAGTATGTGTCAAACGAGTTAAAGAATGCGATGTTTAAACATTACGAACGTAATTATAATGAAAGCAAGGTACTATTGATGCAGTCAATATCCTGTTGTGCGCGTTTCCATTTTTCGTCGACACGTAAACACAAACACACATACACACATACATGTACACGTACACGTTACATCTCATATCACACATTTGATTCAGATTATAAATGTCGTAACGAGAAAATAAAAAAATAAAAAAATCTATCGATGTAGCATATATAAATATATATATTGTAATGATCGATTAATTATTTATCCGCGATTGTGCTAGCTTGAATGAACGTAGACAGTGATCGAAAAAGGAAAAAAAAAGTAAAATAGCGACATATTAGCACGCATAATACTAATATATACCAGAACTTCGTTGTAAATATTACAACACAGAAGCACGATTCTCGTAAAAGCGACAACAAAATATTTACCAAAATCCACGGTGGATGGACGCGATCTTCGGTGTTAACCCCCGCGAAATTAAAGCGCAACACGATATTTTCATCGAGGCCTCATACACGTCACACGCGGGATAGCGCTTTTTTCGCACTCGCATCGGTCGTGGATATCGCACGAAATACGCTCTCGCGATCTCACCTTTGTTTCGTGCCGTTCTTCCCGTTCTTTCGAGTTTTTTTTTTCGCGTTAATATTTATTATTATTTTCTCAACACTTCTTCGTTGCGAAACGTGTCGAATTTTCGAAAACGTCGATTAAATGCTTTGTAACTAATCCTTTCTCCAGATCGTGGTACTTCTTTAACGTAGATATTGAATTTTAATTGACCGGAGTTAATTGTTTTTTGTTTTCTTTTTTTAGCGGGATCGATTTATTGGTTGATATTATGTAGATTTGTCGATTTGTAGTCGAGTATTGATCATATATATACACATGTATTTTTTTACCAGTTGTTAGCATTTTTGTAAAGATATGTTATATTGACCTTTCTCTACTCTTTTCGTATCGATAGTTTCAATTTTGCTCTAGTAGTGTGTGTATATATATATATATATGTATACGTATATACATATATAGAATATATATATCGCGATGAGTATATATATATTATAAATAAATATATATATCGAGATAGAGTAGATATACGAGAGGAATATTTTCGAATAGTCGAAACGGAGCGAGTGTATATGTATCTACAAAAAAGCCAGGTTTATATCGAAGCGAAATAAGTATGTTGTAAAGCAACGTCATTCGAATGATGGACGCAGATGATCGATGGAAGAAAAGCAGTCGGAATATATATATATATATATCTGCGATCTTATCAACGAAAAATCGCGCGTATAATCCCTTTTCTTTCATCAATGTACATGATTTCCGTTCTCAGTTCTCGCTCGCTCAAGTTAATTTCGCTCTTTGCCTATAGTGTATTTTTGTATAAATGTGAACACACACGTACAAAATCTCTGAGCGTAACCGCGAGTCGTCGTCGTGAAAAAAGCAGTTAATCTTATATATATATATATAAATAAAAAAAAAAAAATTGGTAGCTACAAGTCCAATTTGAAGTGAAGCAAAGATCGCGCGGGCTCTTCACAGGTCGCCGGTAGCTCCCAGATTCGAACGGTGACCTCGAACGTGCGCGTGACGATTGTTATGTGTATTTAAAACGGATGTTATGCATTAAAACGAACATGTTAAATACTAATCGAACACACACACGATTGAAAACAGAAAAAAAAAAAACCAATACTGTTATACATATTATTTATGAGATAAGCAGAGGAAGTTTGTGCGATTTCAATGTGTATATAGACGTATTTATAAAAAAAACAAAAAAAAAACAAAAAAAAAAGCGTTCTTTCCTAACGCGTGTTTCTCGTTTCCGTATCTATCTTGCGATCAGTTTTCTCTTTCTCGTTCGACCGGCGTCACGTCCAAAGCTACCGGTGATCGAGCGTAACCAGGACAATATTATATATTATTGTATAATAGGAAGACACACGTAAACGCGAGATAATCCACAGTTGTACTCTCTAATCGTTCTCACTATAAATTAATGATATTATTATATATTGCCGCAAACAACGCATCTCTTTCTCACCGACTCGTGCGTACTTTTGTGCAATGCCTTCCGGCCGCGTAAGGGTACATCGTACATAGATCGTCGGTATACAATTTATCGAAGCAATCTCGTTCAACTTCAGATAATTTAATCGAAGCTCGAGTTAAAAATCGCATCAACAATTCACGGGAAACGGGAGATGATAAAAAAGACAAATAGAACGAAGAGTCAATATTGCACTGTATAGACGAGGTTTCTTGTCGATATCTAATAGAAATACAATCACGTGTTTTGTTCAACTCCAAGGACGATTTGTCACGCTTGTGTTCTTTTCCGTCTCTCTTTCTCTTTCGCGTGCGTATGAACGTTTGTGTGTGTGTGCGCGCGCGCGCGTGTGTATGCGTGACTGTGTAAATGTGCGAAAGAGAAAGAGCGAGATCATGAATCACAGGGCGGAGTAATAATTTCAAATTGAAGTTATTTCACATAAGCGCACCGCATAACATAGACACACGTACTGAAGTGCATTAATTGGATCCGTTGCATGATTCATACATTCTTTTTACGTGTTTGTTGTACATATGAAGAAGTCAAGCTGTGTAAAAGCAAAGCTTGTCCGGTAATAAACAACTATATATCGTCGGAATCATTTAACGCACTGTGGTATACATGTATCGTACGTACACGAGCGTACGTATGTACGAAAAAATCGCGAAATCCATCAAGTGTTTCAAAATAACGATTACGAATGTGTTGCGTAGTATCTCGGGAAAGTGTTAATAATTTATATTCTTTTGTATAACAATATATATACATATATATATACGATCTTTGTATAAGTCTTTTTTATGTACATAATATGTTTTCTTCTCCTGTTACCTATAATATATTATTTTAAACAGTACATCATAATATTTTATACGATGTTGAACGAATATTGTAAAATGTTTGAAACATTTGATGTGCAATTTCGTGAGAAACTAAGTAAGTAATAGCAGTCGAAAAAAAGTCTTGTCCCACGGCACGATGCATTTAATAAGATACGTGGTGCGAACGTTTATTGCCGACAAACGAAAATTCATTTATCTTATAATCGTAACGATGTTAAATGATGTATGTGTTATTATTATTATCATCGTCATCATCATCCATCATCATCCATCATCATCCATCATCATCATCATCATCATCATCGTCGATTCTTATACTCGTAGCGCCGATTATCGATGGTGGCAGTTACACGATGACCCACCGCGTGCCGCCATTAAGTGAATTTAAATTTAAATAACGGGCAAAGCGATCATAGTATCATCTGAGCGCGCAATAACGATCTCCCGTAAAATGCCTTCTCTCGTTGTAAAATATCAAGAAAAATGGAGAAAAGAAAAGACAAAACGACGGATCGCAATTGCGCGTGTGATATTAGCTAGATCTTTTTCGGCGGCATATATGTATTTAGTTTGAGATATATATATACATATATATACATACATATATATATATATATATGTACATATATAATATACACATAGTCTTCGCTGTAATAGGAAAAAAAATAAATAAAAAGATATATACGTAGAATTCCGTAGATAATGTAAAAAAAAGATTATATATAAATATATATATATAAATTATATATATATATATATATATATATACAAATATATTAAAAAATATATGACTGTGTATTATGGCACGTGAAGTACAACTGAGTAGCGACTAAAGTCGCGATTTGGACGAGAAGTGTAAATAAAATAAATTGATCAGTGCAGAAAACGCGATATAATATCGACGAGACTGAACGAAATTATTTACCATAAATTTGAACACTTAATATCACACAAGACAAGAAAGTTTTCTTTTTTCTCTCGATAAAAATGTTCGATGAGTCACGAAATTTTCTAAAACTTAATTTACAAAGTGTTACTGTCTCGTCCAAGTCAAACGACTATAGTTGTTACAGCCGTCTACCTTTTTGTTCGATCACGCAACACGTGCTTGACCATAAGTAAAGACGAGCGCGAAATATATCACTATTTTCCGTTGAAAACAATAACGAAAAGGGACCGCTTTATCTTCTATAGCCGACGTTTAGAGTAATTCAAAAGAAAAATATATAAATAAATAAATATATATATATATATACACGAAGAAGAGAGAGATTACGACATTGTTTCCGAATGTTTTCGACTTGAAGAATATTTACTCTCTAATTTATCTCCTTTGATAACTTGAGTGTTATCGAGAATTGAGAGAAACAAGAAAGAACAGTGATAGAAAAGCGCAGGCTCTCTTGCAGCATCGAAATGTTGATCGAAAAAAGAAAACATTTAATCTGGGAGATAATTCAAATTTTTTGATGTTGTAATTATGCGAGAATGATCTCTCTATTTAAGTTAAGAAAAATCCACGAGGAAGAACACACATGTTTTCAACGCGTTGAAGCGATTAAAATTTAATATCTGACCAAGGTTGCATTGGCTACCAATGTTTTGAATATTGAGGCTTAAAATTTAAAAGCGTATATTTGTTGCGTACGTGCTGCAGAGTTTGTTCATTATTAAAGCTGCGCACGCATAGTTAAGTTTTTGACTTCTGTTGTCTGCTCGCGCGAAGATGCGACGTGAATAGCGCAAAAATAACGTTGGTTTTTCGAACGAACGGAACACACTTTGGTGTGAAGGACACATTCCACGAAGCGTTTTTTTTTTCTCCATTTCGCAGACGGCGATTCAAAGAGTTGGCGATTGTGCGACGATTATAGTTTTGCAAACCACAGGGACTGAATCCCGAAATAACATCTCGGTAACGCTTTTACAAATTTTATTTATTACACCTCGCGTAAAATCCTTGTCGTAAAAAAAGCCTCACAGAGAAACTTTTAATCCCACACCGGTATTTAACGTTTAAATATTTTTAAAAAAATCTATATTATTTATTTCGATTATTTTATACAAATCGAAAAATATCGGAAATAGCAATTTTAATATCGATTTCAGTCCCTGAATCTCTAGTATGCCATAATCGCGTTTCGTTTTTTATTCTCGAGTTTTTCTTCCTCGTCGTTGAGTGCAAACGACGCGTCCGTCAACGATCGATGTCTGCACACATGTATGGTAATAAATGCAGATTTTTTCTCTCAAAAAATACAAACAAGTTAAAGATAGCGATAGGTATGTGTATGCGCGCGCCACACGCACACGCACATACTTATTATATGTACACACTGAATGATTATTTATAGCTTTTTTTCTGTATCATATATTATCATATATTAACACACATTAATTATAAACTGCAGAGATATGTTGTAATATTTACTATGTAGCACATCTCAATGGCGTTTAATAGAGAATATTTATTGAAATTATTTATCATAAAGCAAAAGTTGTTATATACACGTAATACTGACACACCCCAGTTTACTTTCACTATCGAATCTCATTATCGCGTTTCGATAATCGAATACTATCTGTTTACGTTACGCGTTCGAAGCAAAGTGTAAGTTGCACGATCTAAACATCTATATTGATTAAGAAACTATTATTTAAAAAAAAAAAAACGATTAAGCTGACGAGTTGTAGATTTTTTTTTTTTTTTATATCAGACTCCTTTCGCAAACAAAGTTTGCAGTTTTTTTTTTCTCACAATGTCATGTTGTCCTTGTTGGTTAAACTGTGAAGAATTATACGCTCGTTGGTTAACGGTGCGTCTGCGAAAAAAAAAAATCACGTGAAATGAAAATCGACCTGTTGAGCGTGCACGGTATATATGGTGTATAAAAAATCGTTTGTATCTCGGAAACTCACCCATTCTGTACCAAGCATCCGTGTTTCCAGCATCCGCTCTGGCCGAATTCAGTGCGTAGCGAATCGCGATCGGAATTACGCAGGTCATACATTGCGGCGGTTCTCCGCATGCTGTAAAAAAAAAAAAAAAAAAAGATTTTTGTACGTATGTTTTAAGTATTTTATGTATTCAAGTTTTTTCTCAGAAGAAAATTAGAGAGAAGAGTTTCTCTGTCTCTTTCTCTCGATACTTTACCCTTCGAACGAAGGACGCCGGTTATGTTAGCCGAGTTTTTGAGAAGAGTCACGCGGAAATCGACGGGAATATCCTTGGCTCCTGGTGGTTTATAATTCTGCGAAACACAGAAAAAGACATGAATCCAATAACGTATTTGAGGAAATGTCAAATGAATATTCCGGGATTAAATTTTGCGTCTTCTAATAAATTTATCTTAATATATATTAACAAAAAACGCGCGCAAAAACGTCACGTACCCAAGTTCGGTAATTCGTTAACGCTCCTGTTTTAGGATCGTAAATCAGATCCTCGGAAGTCCAGTATCCTATTCCCATCATGAAGGCTCCTTCCACCTGACCGACATCGATCTCCGGGTTCAAGCTAATGCCGACGTCATCCACCAAATCCACTCTCCTGATAATGTGCTGGCCGGTCAACAGATCGATCTCAACCTCGGCGATAGTGACACCATAAATGGAATAGGCCTTGAGCACGTCTTCCTTCGACGGCGCAGACCTGTCGAGGTAAGAACGATGCGATCATCAATTACAAGTAATAATTATTACGTTTATTCGGAGAAAATTATCGCAATTTTTAATGAAGATAAAAACTTACATGTAACGCGCGCATAACTCGACATCCTTCAAATACGCCGCCATGACAAGCTCCTTCCAGCTCGGATCTTTCAAATCTTTTTTTATCGGTTCAAGTCTTTTCAAAAGTTCTTGACAAGCTTTAATTGTGGCCTGAAAGTCAACGCGCGTACAGTTATCGATCAATTTTTTTATCTCGTGTTATTTATCGAAACGTAAAAAAAAAAACGGAAGTAGATAGATCGAGTGAACTCTCACCAATGCGCAAGATTCGCTGGCGATGCTGCCTCCGGTAATTGCATTGTTGGGCGCTATTATGTTGTTAGTCGGTTTGACGTTAACTAAGCTCAGATCGATTCCTAGTGTGTGAGCTGCCACTTGAGCGATCTGGGGAAAAGAAATTCATTTCCTTTCGTCAAGTGTTTAAACAACGTAGGTTGAAGCAAATAAATCGAAGTTGCATCTTCTTTCTGAGAAATCTGGAGATACAGCTATTTGCTTATTTTTTTAGTATTTTAATGTTATTCTCTCAATTTCGCAACGTACCTTGGTATTTATACCTTGGCCACATTCGACACCGCCGTGCGACACGCAAACCGTACCGTCACGCGCGCAGATCGACACCATAGCGTTGAATTGTCCAAAGTACATCACTGGATACTTCATCGGCACTAAGGCGATTCCCCGCTTCTTCCAGCGATTTTCCTTGTTGAACATATCAACGTTCTGCTTTCGCATGTCGTAGTCGGTCGATTTTATCAGATCATTGATAATCGGTTCCAACTTTTCTCTGTCTTCTTTGGTCATATTCGCCAGCCTGACCTGGATTGGATCCTTCTTCGTCACTCTCGCGATATGTTCCATTATGTTCTCGATCATAGCCACTCCTTCCGTGGATCCTGGCGCTCGGCAGTACGTGTTCGACGGTAAATCGGTTCGCACTTCGTACGCATTCATAGTCCATTTGTCGATTTGGTAACAGCTGATGACACACAATCGCAAGTAAATGCACGCATATGTATATAGATCGAAATTATCTTCTAATTTTAATCCTTTACATAGAAAAACCAATCTTGTGTGTCCATATAACATTATTATAAGTGGCAGCGCTGGTAACGCCAGATATTTTTCGTATTTGTATACCTTGGCATATGCGACGCCGTGACCCAGCCATGAGCTTCATTGAAGTTGCAACCTCCGTTGCCCCAGTGATCCGAGTTGAGATACTGAATGACCCCATCGTCGTCCACACCGACTTCGTATTCTTGGCGGGTGGAGTATCTTTTGCCTTGGGATTGCATGTTGCTCTCGATTGTCAAAACGAATCGCGCCGGACGATTGAGCTTGTGGCACGCCAGCGCGCAGGAACAGGCGATTTGCACGTTCCGCACGATCTTACATCCGTATGCGCCGCCGAGTCGTCTCACGACCACGTTGACGCTGCGGCAAACGAAACGATTTTATGACAGCATTAAGAATAGTCTCAATCCGATTAAAAAAAAAAATTAAAAATATACGTGGTTTTATTTGTAATATTCTTGAAGTCGACTCAAAAACTTTTTACAGAGCTTTTACGAAGAAACTCTCGTGCAAATTAAAAAATCGATACGCAAATCGATGCAGCAAGAAACAATTCCGAGATTAGTGAAATGTTTATTCACTTGTTATTGTTGATATTGAGAACGTCAGCAATGGCTACTTGGGTGAGATCTATCCACTGCGTCGTTGGATAAACATCTATGCCGTCCTCCGCCGGAACGCAGACGCAGGATTGAGTCTCCATGGTGTAGTGATATTGGCTGCCGATTCGAAAAACGTCCTTTATCACGTGCTTGACGTTGTCTCCTGCGTAAAATAACAGGAGACATTGACATTTTTTTCAAGAACACGCGTGCTAGTTTGTGTGAGAATCAGAAATCTTTTCCGTCTGTTTACCTTTTTTCTCTGCTGTGCTTTTGTAAGTCTGCAGAAATCTAGTCTGATCCTGCGTAGCGAGCACGTCCTCGATAGACAGTATCGGTTTTCTCGTCAGTGTCTCCTTGTACTTGACCTCCACCAATTTCGCGGCTTCGTTCGCCAACATTTGCGTCTCGGCGACGATCACGCCCACCGGCTGGCCCGCGTATATAATGTCTTCCTCGACAAACAGCAACTCGTTCTCCGGCAATATCATCAGGTTGTGTACGGCCGCGACGCACAGATTCTTTCCGGGCACGTCTTTGGCGGAGAAAAATGCTATCACGCCCTTCTCAGCCAGCGCTTTGCTCGCGTCTATACTCGCGATCTTCCCGTTGCCGACTTCCGTAAGAACGAAGGCGCAAAACACTTCTCTGGGATACGGTGGCAGATCGTTGCAATACTGAGCCTCGCCCGATGTCTGGTTAATCGCCTCCAGTTTCGGCGACGGTTTGCTTACCGGCCACGTGCTCTTGTCCGTATCGTATTCCTGCGTACCTAAAATCAGTTGCGACGAGTTTTTCGTCATTTTTCTTCAACAGTTCACGTCATTTCACATTATTATTTGCAGTCTTTTTTTTTTGTTATAAAATTAATTAGTAATTTTTTGATAAAATTCTTCGGAGTGTTTTGTTAAAAAAAGAGAGCAAATCTCGAGGTAGTGAAATAAGTCTGATTATCGTTTACGCGCGCACCTGAGGAAAGACCACGTTCCAAGATAGTGCCGCCGCTGCGAAGTCTGGAATTCAAATTCTCAGGCTTGATGCTGAGCACGAATTTATAAAACAATCCTTCGGCGAGAGTCCTGCGAAATTCCGGCGAATAATCCGGCAGCACGTGGTCGGGCTGCAACTCGTTGTGCAACGTCTCCATAGCGGATTTCAACACCTGCTTGTCGAGAATCGATTTACCCGTCAGCATCTCCTCGGTCTTGATCGCGTGCAGGAAGTGCTCGTTAATGGCCCCGAAGATGATGTTGGGCTTCTCCAGCACCTTTGCGCAAAATATTCCCGACAATTCACGTCGAAGATCGATGGCAGGATAACACGCGAGTAGGATGGAAAGTAATTTCTTCTTACCTTGCCACCTCCGTCGAGTTTGAAGAGAAAACCGGCGTTGACGTGGGCGTGGGCGTTCTGAGCTCGGGGCATGATCTTGTAGGATCTGTACTCGTATTCCGCAGATAACGCCGGTAACACCACGCTGTATATAATCTTGTGGCGCATGTCGATGTTCAGGAAATCCCGCAGCATCATGTTCTGCTTGCGGCCCGGTCCCTCGAGAATGTGCACGCGAGTGCCGGAAGTTTCCAGCATCAGAAACAAATCGGACTGAAACTCGCGGTGCGCGTGCTTGATCATCAGGTTGCCGGCGATGCTGCCGATGTTACGCACCGGCACACTGGCAATTAGGTCGATGTGATGCGCCAGATGGTGTAGGTACTGAAACCCGGCGTCGGCGGAATACTTGAGGAAGGTCTCCATCGCCACGGTCAGAGTTACGTTCCCGCCCAGGGTGAGGGATTCCGCGGTCTTCTCGATGCGACGTAAATCCGGTATGTCGTTTATATCGATGCGAAGATCGGTTTTGTCGGTTCGATAAACACCTGGGGAATTCATTCCGCGTCAATTCACGAAATAATTTGTTTATATAAACGAAAGTAAAGCAAAATGTTTTTTACACTTTGTATGCATTTTTTGTGCGGTGCATTTTTATCTTGCACAAAAGAAAAATATTTTTTTACAAATTACCGTGCGCCGTGTTGCCGCCGTGTAATATATACGTAGCGCTCGGCTTACGTTCAAATATCGCGAACAATTCATCGATCGAATGAACTTTATGAAATTCTCCGTCCTCTAATTTTATATCCACGGTCTTGTTTTCATTTTGCTGTTGTTGTTGCCAAAATTTTTTATCGGTGCAAGTGCGTGTACATGGTTTTCCATTTTTCGGACAGATCTTGTACAGTTCCTGTATAATGAATATGTTATTGCATATTTGTGATAATAAGGTTTTTCATCATCAATTCATTGTGGTGTAGAATTTTTTAATTTCATTTTGTTTTTTTTTGTTTTTTTTTAATCACCTCGATATCGCGAATATCTTTCTTCATTGACGCGGGTGCGTCACTTGCGAATCCTTTGAATGCTTCCAATATTGGCCGATAGCCCGTGCATCGACAAATGTTACTGCCAAAGGAATTTTCTATTTGCTGCATAGTCAGCTTCTTGTTTTCCAGAAGGCTGTAAGTAACAATAAGCGTACCGGTGCAATTTATGATGTGATAAATGTTTTATTGCGCTCTAAAGCAAGACAATAGATAATAATTAACGTGTTATGTCACACGGGATTATATCTATATACAACTCTGAAATTAAACAAATCCTTGTGTGTGTAATTTAGTAACTGCAGTTCTTTACTGCTTGTCGAATAGCCCCATTGAATTTTCTCAAATAATTTATTATTATGATATTTTCAACAATTTCAATCAATCTGTATCACGTACCTGTAGAGATTCATTACCATGCCGGGAGAGCAATATCCGCACTGCGATCCATTTTTTGCAGCGAGAGTAGCTTGAATCGAATGATAACCGTCTTTCTTGTTTCCTATACCCTCGATCGTGCGAATTGCCCATCTACAAACGTGACACAATGTTAATTGTCACGGAAAATATTATTATTATATTTTTAAGAAAAAAATATTCTCTCATTAATTCTTTGCGGTTGAAATTTGAATACATTTTCTCGGAGATTATATCGCATACCCGTCGCAAATCAGTATCGGCACGAGACAAGAATTCACGGCCATTGTCTCGCCTTTGATTTCCGCGGCCACAATGCAGGCACCGCAGCCACCCTCGTGACACATAGCTTTCGTGCCGCGGAGTTTCGCATGGTCGCGAATGTAGGTATTGAGAGACGTATTAGACGGCAAATCTCCCGACACTAAAAGCAATGCGTTGCGAACGTATGTAAGTGTTGATACAACACAAACGTGATGTACGTAGCATACAATGTCGATATAAAACAATTAGATTATTATACAACAATTATATATTATTCTGTTTTCTTTTTGTTGTTACTGAAATTCACACACAGTATACGTACCCGTATATGGTGTTCCATTGATCGTAAAATTAATGGACTGCTTTCCTTGCCTGAAATAAAACGCGAGAGATTACACCATCGCATTAATGAAATTAACTTTGATATCGTGATATCGTTATTTATTTATTGTGACAAACGCAGCTTATAAAAAATTATTAAATACATCGTAAACAAATCGTATTGATTTCTTTTTTCAATTTATTACAAAAATTTTATTTATTATATATTCAACATCTTCAGAGTACATATAAATACATATAAATGTGTCGGCATATAATGATACGAATCATTAACATATCGGTAATAAACTTACTTTATTGTTGGCATTGTGTTGCGTATTGGTCTTTTTATTTCGGTACCCAAGTGCGCACCTTTTCCGTAATACCCTTCGTCCACCGATTTACACGCTTTTACAAGATATACAAGCGCCTTTCGGAATTCACACAATAGAAAAATTGTAAATTATCAAACGCTATATTTCTTCTTAAAAAACGATAATTAGTTCAATTATTTGAGCGAGAAAATGAAGTGACGAGATTTAGAACGATTATGCGCTTGTTAAAGCAACACATGCAGAAGAAGAATCAGTCGAAGAGTCGCGTATCACTGGCCGTGAAAACCATATCCATTTATTCCACGTACAGTCGGCGTCAATGAATCGTTTCGTGAACGCGGGGAGCTAGGGGTAAGAAAGACGGTATTTCCTAACAGTAAATATTGTAATCGGTCAATTCATCGAGATCTGCTACAGTTAGTTAGTACGGCGCCCGTTGGCAGTACTTACTGCTAGAGAATACCGTCTCTCTTACCCCTAGCCCCCCAGGTCCGAGCTGAGAACAAGTTAGTGCGAAAATATATGTAGTTTTATTAAAACAAGATAATCAGAGAGACGTTTTGATCTATACATCGAATCTTTTTCAGTAATCGTAACTGAATGGAAAAAAAACTAAAAAATATAAAATTAAAACAAATTACTAGACTAAATTATTAAAGTTCAATAAAAACTCTGCAATAAAAAAAAAAACGTTTTACCTAAAAGGAATAGTACACAAATGGAAAAAATTGATAGTCATTTAAACTATAAACAATTAAAAATTTAATTAATTAAAAAGTTTATGAAAATAAAGTTAATTTAAAGAAAGCAAAATAAAACCATACTTGATGAGAATTGAATTAAAAAAAAATAATATTTATGTTACGATATCGTAACTGAATGAAATACAAACACAACAAAAAGACAACATCCACAATAAACTAATGTAAAAAGCTCGTTAATACGTGTGTAATTTCTTTTAACGCAAAATCCGATAACGAAATCATTCGAAAATCGAAACACGAAAATAAGCAAAACAACAGATATTTGAATAAATATAATTCTAAAAAGAAGAAATACAACTTTCATTTATCCGTATCTGACATAATGTTAATGAAATTCTCTTGTATTTAATATGGAACATCTCAGAAACAGACTTGTTAGAATAAAGATTTTTGGGATCCAAAATTTATGCGTATTTCCAGTTAAAGTTATGTTTTCTGTTCAATCTGTGTTCGGTTAACGATCGAAACATTTATTATGAGTAAAGACACAAAGTAATATTTCAGCTCCAACGAATTTAATTTAGAATGTGGCGTAGAATACGGCTCATTTAATTGGTGATAATTCTGTCCTGTCATGATGAGTATTCACATCATGTTTTTTTTCCATCATTCTTATTTTTATTTTCATGTCGTGTACATATTGATCAGTATTGCATGTATACGACTATGTACGAGTATGTATCTTTTTTTACTTGTTTGTTTGAAGATAAAAATCAGGATAAAAAGCAAAAAAGATCGTAATAATGTCTTATTATCTTGAATTATTAATCTTGCAACTTGTAATCTTGCACTTGACAGATCAAGGTCTGTAACAATGTGAATACATTGTATAGATAATATTACTTGTCGCCGCGAGCAAAATTTAAACATACAACATCTAGAGATTTATTCAAGACACTGAATAAAACGATGATTCAGACATCATTTTCAAATTTTATCTTTAATATTAATTGAGATATCTTATCTTTAATTAATTATTAAATATTTTTGATCCAATATTTGACGTAACATTCCGTTGAATTTTTGAGATTATTTACGTAAGTTTTTGTCCAAGTCTGTGGAATATTCTGACGTGTATAATGTTCGAGGAGCAATGTAAAATGTGAATCTCACGCACATGTATTATATTACATTGTGCACATATTCAATGTTTATTTTTTATTTCCAAAGTTTTATGTAAATTTTATGTGTGTGTGCAGTATAACTCTTTTATCATAATAATTTGATAAAATATTTTATTACTTAATACTTTAATAGTTTTTAGTAGTTATTCGACTCTCTGTTTAATATATAAACGTGAATTATCGAATTTATTATTTTTCATTAATAATAACATATATTTTATATAAATTTTTGCTGTAGAATATTCCATGTTGTATAGTGCGTAATAATCTGCCTAGGAAAAAAATGGATTAAACTTAATTAAGTCTAAATAGATATAAAGTAGATCTATGTAAATTTTTACATTTTTTTATTTATTATTAGATCTATTCAGATTTACTTAGATCTAAGCAGATCTGAACAGATCTGATATAACAGATTTGAATAAACATAAAGTAGATCTAAGAATAAATAAAAGTATAAATTTTTATATATTTATTTAGATTTAATTTGAATCTAATTAGATTTGTTTTTCCATTTTTTTGATCTCGTCAGATTTAAATTAGATCTAATTCATTTTTTCCCGGACATGTGTTTACAGTTTTATTTTTTTTTTTTACAAAAAGATGTTACGTAACCTTCTGTAAGAAGTGTACGCAGCAAGTCTCTAACGATGTAGTGATTTTCTTTGACATTATCCTATACGACAGAATGTGTACAATCTAATCTACAGATCTAATCAACAGCTATCTTACATAATCGCGCTCAAAGACCGTTTTCTCCGCATTCGTGAGATGTAATTTAGCAACAACCAACTTGTTGCGTACGATCAATGATCGGCGATGTCATTTGCCAAGACTCTGGAATCAATTATATATATTCTCCTCTTGCCTGATGATTATTTAATATTCGTTTCGATGTAATGACGATGCGGCAATAACAAGGAACATCTCGTGCACATTCTCGCTGCACATTGTTAACGCGATGCGTATTACGTATATGAATGTACTTAAATCCGTGCGTAATATTGTTGCGCGGAAGTAAATGATTATGTCGAAATTCATGACACGGAGATACATTGATGAAACATCGCTCGTGCGCGCGTCCAACTTCAAGGATTTTCTACTTGAAGTCATATTGAATTATGACATCAGATGCGAAATTAACGAACGAATTAGATGAATTTTGCACTACAAAGCTGCAATTGTACATTTCTGAGTACGAGATAAACACGCACCTTCCCTTTTCTCTTTTTCTCTCTTTCTCTATTAGTATATAATTGTTTTTACTATTTGCAACAATGTGAATTAAAAATATTCGATAATGAAATGCTATATTATATATATATATGTAACATATGTATAATGTGTATAATTTGACGAAGCAGAATAAGCGAAGGACAGACAGATCAAGGCAACATTGCGCACGATATTGTTGCGTGTTGCACAAAAAAATAACGCTGCAAAAAATTCAAATCTAATATTTATTGTTTCGTGCAGTCTGTTCCGTAGGTGTGCAATCACGTTTATTTTATCATCACGCGAAGAAGCTCCACGACAAAATTAGAATACAAAAGAGTTGAACAATGTTGCATTCAACAAAGTTGCGTTAAAATCACACAACGTGACGCTACGAAGCCACGTAATGAAGTCATTATGATGCACTTTAATCGTGCCGGACTTAATTTCCCTGCAATTTTAACTTCTGTATATTTCACGCAAGCAATTATTTTCCACGAAAAAACATTGAATAAAAATCGAAGAAGGCGAAGGAAGTTGAGAGAAGAAAAAAATGATAGAAGAAACGAAGACGCGAACAGATGAAGTAACGCAGAAAGCTGAGAAAATTTATATATAGAGAATGAACAAAGGAAACTGATTACTACACAAATGATGTTGCTTCACTGAAGTTGCAGCACAAAACATAATGCTTAAAGCATAAATATATTATATCATATATATTATATTTATGAGAGTATCATTGATCAGAGTATTATTGAGAGAGTATTATTGATAATGTAAGGTCTGTGTAGTAACAACAATAAAAAAATTAAGTATCCGGCTAATTTCAATAAAGCAAACTTGATTTCTCTCGCATAGTATAAAATAAAAAAATCAGTCTGCAAAAATCTGTACAGTTAATAATATACGTCTGTATGTTTATATTATATATATTTATATTTTTACCAATAATGAATTTGAATTAGTACGGCTCTATAGAACCAATGTGCAGGATCTTGTGCAATAATGTTGAAGATAAATTATTCAAATGTTTCGACTTTCTTTATTGAGTCATCTTTGGTAGAAATAATAAAACAACATTCGTTACAATTTAAAAGTGGTGGTCACATATGTCAAGTATCTAAAAGTCACTTTGTACACTGGACTCACGACTGTGTTGCTTCTATCAATGTTATCACCACAGTGCACTAATGATAATTAGTGCAATTAACGATAATTTATTTTCAACATTATTGCATAAGATCCTGCACATTGTTCTATACAGCCGTACTAATTCAAATTCGTTATTGGTACAACCGACAAAAACCTGAGGACAATCCTCTTTACTCTAATATTTATATTTTTATTTTTAGCAAATAGAAAGGAACGAAAAATCCTCTGATAAAAACTCATAAAAGTAAGGACAAAGGGCCAATAAGAGCCTGAACACGGATGTTAGTGTGTGAAAATTAGGAATTTATTATAAATATTTAAAACGTTTCGATCCTAGGTTTGGATCATCTTCACACACTAACATCCGTGTTCAGGCTCTTATTGGCTCTTTGTCCTTACTTTTATTTTATTTTTACACTATGAAAAATATTTGTGAAATCGCTACTACACAGAATCAACCGGGGAACAGTTAAGCGAACGTACGTCAAGCGAAACTCACCTAGAATTTAACGCAAACAATTAAGTCGACTTTCTCGAAGACAAAAAAAGTTATACATAATAAGGCGAGAATGAGATACAACCAGCACCAAAATCACTTAAATAATTTGATAATTCGAAAAATATGACGGCGATATAAACAAACAGATAAGCTCGACTGCTCAAAGCTATAAAAAAAAAGAGAATAAATATATTCGATTCTTGGATGCGATTATTGTTGTAGCTGCAATTCCATAAAAAAGAAGCAATTGTCCTTAAACTACATACTGCAGTTCGATGATTTCATGATTTCTTTTTGTTGCAACGCCATTAATGAAAACCCGATATAATTTCAGCGAGTTGAACTGAACTATCTTCAGCGCGATTGGGATATTGTGAATCGCGGATATATATATATGTATCGATTCCACCACGCGTAAATTAATTACGTAATTCACTTTTACGCTCGATGAAATTATACCAGTTTGACATTCGTTAAAAAGTATTGGAAAGACGCGAGAGAACGTTAAGCATGTAACACAAATTGCGACATTTTGCACTCAGCACGGTGATATATATATATATATACACAGACTTACCCAACAGTAGTTAAGGTTGTGCCCATAGTTTGTTTGGTGAAACTACCAATAATTTAGGAAAGACACATGTAAAAAACAGGTCAAGATTAACTAGATATTTTGTAATCCTCTAAACTTTACTTAGACGGTGTGTATTTCACGCGTAGCTGACTTGCATCAATTGTACAAAGTTTCTCTTGCGCTTGAATTTAAAACGTAGTAGTCCCTACTACGAGCAGCCGCAAGTAGGAGTAAAGTGGCTATCGTATAATATGGGAGGCAATGCGAGAGTCAAAATGATGCGACGTCGAGAATGATTTAAATCGTCGATCTTCGTGCTAATTGATCGCACATTTATTTTTAGAGGATTACTTTCGTGATTTCACGCGCGAAAAAAAATATTTATACAGTTGCATTACGATAGTAAAAAAAAAAACTACAGAATGAGAAAACTGCAAATAAGAATAATAACACCGGTTAATAAACTAAAAAGTGATAGAAAAATATTAATTTTTACAACACACACTTCAATCTTAAACACAATTAAATAAGTTCTCACATGCGTGTTTACATCACGTAATTGTTATATTCTATACAGGTTGAATAAATTGACAAATACATACTCTCAAATTTGCATACGGTTGATTTTTTTTATTTATGCCACTTTCGCGCAAGAAAATATTATAGTACACTACGTATAAGATCGGTTCAAAATAGTTTATAAAAAAACATGTATAGCACATTAAAAAAAATTCTTTATCTCGTAAGTAAACTTAAAGTGCTCAAGTTGTTCCCATGATGCTTGATAGCTGATAGCAATAAATACACGCGGTTTCATCGCACACACAGCTGTATATAGATATAGTGCAACGACAGAGCCTCTTTCACTTGCCTCCTACCACATCGTCGCGATATTTTACGGGATAAGCTAATTGGTTGCCCTTGTTCCACGTGTAGAGCTCCTGGAAGCAAAACGAAACAAGAGAGGCAAAGTGAAAACGCGCGCGAAAACCAACAAAATCTACATGGCGAAAGGCGTCGCCGTGAACGAACACGTACCTTGGTTTTATGATTGTAACTGACCGCCGTGGTTTTATGATACGGATTCGTGAATGACAAATTCACATCCAGCATGGAGTTCTTGTAGAGATCGAAGGCGAATCTACAAGTTGAGCAATTGAATTTGTGTAGATACAACAAAAAAACGAAACATTTTCTCAAATATGTTTCTGTGTTCCGTATTGAATAAAGTCAAGAACACAGATTCTACATGTTGTCTCTCGCTTTACCGTATTTTCATGGTTTCCTCGCTGACACTGTGTATTGCGTAAAGCACGCCTCCGGCGATGAACATCTCCCCGAATCTATGATGATCGATACTGATGTTCCATCCGTGCTGAATGGTCATCTTCACGGGATCCATTTTTATCACCGCCGTATTGTTGGATTCCGACAATCCGTAAATAACCCACATACCTATGCAAAAACTCGCATCTTTCTATATATATTCAAGAAGAAACAAAAAATACAAAACTATTCTTCTTCTCACTCTTTCTTTTTCTCTCTTCTTTCTCTCTGAAATCTACTCCCTTACCGTTTTCGTCCACGTTGAAATCCACGTAAGTGAAGTTGTGCTTGTACAGGAAGTTCGGAGTATTGACTTTCAAATCCGGAAGCTGCACCTCGCAATTAGGAGGCATTGAGTTAAGCGAACAGTTACAGCCGTGATTCGAGAACGAATTGAGATCGAATCGGAAGACCGTCGGACGATCTTTGGGATTGTAAAAAAACGAGTTGTTGTAAACTATGTGTCCGTTGCCCTGTATAAAAAAAAAAAATATCACTTTTTTTGCATCTGCACCCGTATGAAAAATATTGTAATGTCGATAGATAAAATTTTTTATAAGCTTTGTGCGTAACCGTGATATTCGCCTCGCTATTTTCATAAGCTATTAACCTGAAAAGGACACGGCAATCTGATCTCGCGTGCCGTCTCGTTCTTGAAGTGATCTTTCGATTTGTACTCGTAGATGTAGGACGTGTTCGTGTTGCGCGTGACCCAAAGTCTGTCGGACAGGATATCGTGACGGAATGACGCGTCGTACATCCAACTTCCGTAAGTGTCGTTCATGCTCCCTTTCAACACAGGCTTGCCGACGGCTTCTATCAGACCCTCTGCGAATTAGCCCGACCATCGATTATTAACGTTTTCGAGTTTTCTCCGCGGAGAGTTCGACGTGCAAAAAGTTCGATTTTCCAGCAGCGACGTTATAGGCACTTGATTCAGCAAGTGGTGCCCGTTCTCGTTAATTACGCGAACTTCCGTAATATCGTGACTCGGTACTTCTCGATCATTACCACGCGTCTCTCGCTTTATTTAAGTTTCTTAAAGTAAAGATTCATTTCCGATAAATAGAAATAAGTTGTAAATTTATTTATCGCAAAATTAATTTAAAACAAAACTCTCGAGATGCTTTCGTTATAGTTTTCTCTCTCTCATCAGTTTCTTGATAACGTAATCATTGATTTTCATTCAAAATTGCACATCATTTAGAAAAGATTAGACGTACCGGCCTCTATACGTGACGGTTGCCACGTGGCGTCGTAACCGCGCAGGGATTTAACGCGCACGTGGTCCAAGTTCGCGTACGTGCAAGGACTGCACACTTCTTGTTCCTGATCGACGCTCGAGGGCATCGGATGGCCGAAAGTGATGTACTGCTCTTTTCCCAACTTTTGTTTTTCCGTGTCTTTTACATCGTCTAACGACGCAACATAATTATTATTATTACTTGACAAATCTTTAACGATACATCGCGCAATGTTCCATAATAAAAATTAACAATTAAAAACGAACCGTTTACTACGAAGTATCCCCTTGTAACATCAACGTCGTTTTTCACCACGCACTGATAAGACCCGTGATCCGTCGAAGTCACCCTTGCGATTCTCAATCTCATCTTGAACTTTTTACAAACAATGTCGTGCGATCATGAAATTTGTTTTAAATTTGTTACTGACGCGAATAGCGAAAAAAAATTGTATGCACACACACTGCTAACGTACATCTACACATACAAACTACGAAAATACTCGTGGAAAAACTAACACATTATAAAAAACTAAACTTACATATATGCAAATTTTGCGCACTCGCGCAAAGATAACACATTGTAAAAAACTAACTGATCGACGAAAACAAATCACATAACACGACGTATAAACGCGCGATTTTTTATAAACACGCTCTTACATAAACAAAATATACCTTGTAATAATCGCGTTTATCGTAAATCTCTATTTTATATCTATCCGACGCTTTCAAACGACGACCGTCATTGCGTTCCCAGTGCACTACTGGCTCGGGAAAGGCTTCCACCTCGCATTCCAGCAATGCCGAATTTTGGTTCTTCACGGCAACGATGTGGTTACGTATGCGAATAAACGGCGAAACTGCGAAATATAATTTTCAGTAATTTTATCTGCTTACGTGTAATTAACACACAAATCCTCTCTCACCACTTTCTCTCCTCTTTTTTCGGAATTTATTATTTTAATGAAACCGAAAACCTTAGAAGAAAAAAAAAAAGAGAGAGAGAGAGAGAGAGAGAGAGAGAGAGAGAGAGAGAGAGAGAAAAGTGTGCTTTATTACACGAGAGATTTTTCATAAATAAATACAATAGATTTTTAAAAACTTGGTTTTTAAATAAAAATTACGATATAATATAAAAACAGATATATAATAGAAAAAGAAGTCATGTGTATATAGACAAAAGAATTGTGTTGTAAGATTCTTTTGTACATCGTAATTATAACATGCGCTTACATCTGACGTGAAGCGTGAACTTCCTGACCGCTGGTGGGCCTATGCCATTGTTGGCGTTGCAAACGTAGTCGCCCATGTGTCCCCGATTTACTACACTGATATTAAACGTATGACTAGTAATGGAGTTCGCTAGAAACGGTAAGATTCACAATATCACGACTGATTCGTCACACTCCCTATTTGATTGTTCGTTGGTGTGGTGCGAATTTAGAAAAATGCGAATGTGTTACCGTGCCAATTGCCCATCGGTATCGCGAAACCGTCGGACTTCGACCACTGTACAACGGGATGCGGTTTTCCGCTCGCGGCGCATCTCAGTCGTAAGCTGCTACCCTCTAGCACGGTGATTACGCTCGTATTCGACGATGTAGCTTCATCTGTAATCCCTGAAATATCCGTTCTTCAAAACACACTCGTAGGACTTTTTCAATAAACATCTTGACGGACAATCAAATCGCGATGATGTTAATTACGAAATTAATTACTAAGGTCACAGTTTTTGATGATTTTGTAGCGAGTGAAGACTTTTGACTTTTGATTTTCAGTGACTTGCGCGAACGGACTTAGTGAAATCCCACGAGTTCTTACCCAAAATAGATGGGGGTATCAAAATATCATGCGAGTCTTTGAAGCCCCAAGTCTGTATACCCGGTTTGCCGTCCCTTCCCGGCAATCCTGGATGACCGGGTGGACCTTGTTCTCCTGGGTCATAAAATATTTATTGAACAAATGAAACGTTCTCTGACATGAGAGATGTATTTACATACCGCGAGGTCCTGGTGGTCCTTGAGGACCCCTCTCACCGGATCTTCCTAATTGATGCAAAGTATCATTTAATAAGCAATACGTGTAATCGTGTCGTGTGTTCGGCACGTGTCACGTACCATCGGTTCCGTTTCTCCCAGGTATTCCGGGCATGCCGTTTATACCCGGCTTGCCGTTGATGCCGGGTGCACCGTCCAGACCGCTTCTACCGGGAATGCCGTCCAAACCGGGCTCACCTGGAACGCCGTCCCTACCGTCGAATCCCGGCGGACCGATATCGCCTTTGGGTCCCCTGACACCCGGTTGTCCGGGGGGTCCCTTTGGACCCACCATCCCCGGAATACCCGGCAGGCCCGGCTCGCCCGGTTCTCCGGGCGCACCGGGCGGGCAATATTTGGCGGAAGAGCGGCAGAAATTCTCAATCGCGTCGAACTGAAACGCGCAGACTTAGAATATATCGAATGCTTGTTACAACGTTTTTACTTTGTATTTCATATATATATATATCATAAACGCGCGCGAGTTTTTTTATCATTTGTATGAAACTTGACGAGAGAGAGAATCACGACCGACTTGTATTCGCGTGTCGGCGTTAAACCAGATCCAATCTTGACCCCCGACCGCCGTTGACGAGGACGCGGAGCCGGATACCATAGGGGAGGCGGTTACTTTCTTGGTACCTTGCAAATCTTTATCTTCCCGAATCTGTAAAATACATATATAAACGTTTTTTTGCGCCGATTTTTTTTTAGAATTCATTATTTGTTGAAAAATCTTTTTCTCGATATTGTGCGTGATATTAAACTCTTACGTACTCTACTAGATAAATCGGAAACGGCGTTATCCTCGGCGGTCGGCAACGCGCTGCTGCGTCTTCGTCGCGGAATCGCAATGGTTTCGGAATACCGGCCTCTCACCGCACGCAGATCGTTCTCTATGTTCGTCACGTATTTGTACAGATAGACGAATGTGAAAAAGTGTATGATAAATTGAAGCAAAATGAGAATTAGCAATACGCGCGGTTGAAGCATCCAACGTTGCACTAGTAACGCGCTCTTGCTGTTCATACTGGCGTATGTAGTTCTGTTCCTGCGAAAAAGTCGTGTCCGTAATAAAATAAATTACGCTTATCTCACAAAGAATCGGACTACGTCGTGTAAAAAAATTGGATTAATTAAAAAAATGGAGAATGAGAATCCAGTAGTAAAATATATTATATGTTGCAAAAATCTGAAATCATAAACCGCGAAAACTAAAACATCTCAAGTTTTTTAAACCACCTTATTGAAATTATTTGTGTGTATCTTTAATTTAGTTGATTGCGCTAGTTACGCCAAATCCTTAAATGACGGTAATATAATTGACATTGTCTCGGATATATACATGTAAACGGTAACGTTGCGATATCTATATTGGCATGAAGATGCGCGGCGCCTCAACAGGACACAAACTATTTCAATTGAACATCTCTGTCTTCTGAGAGAGAGAGAGAGAGAGAGAGAGAGAGAGAGAGAGAGAGAGAAAAAGAAAGAGAAGCGTATTATATCTGCGTCATCCGATTGGTCGTAATAAAATTAAATCTACATATTAAACTTCTATAACGCACATTTTCTACGTTTCCTCGCGTTCGTCGCACTTTTTTTTTTTACGTTTTTTGTCTCCCGCACTTGTTTCTTCTTTAATATCACTAAGATATTACATTTGAAATTTTCCGAGCAATGTTTTTAAACACTATAATATGTATCTCCGGAACGTTTTGCCGATGGAAAAACTTACAGTTTGCGTTATAACGTTTAATTTCACACTTCGAGACGCGACGCACAGGATATTTAGCTCTTTTGCGTAGGGAAAAAAAGTCGCGAGAGAAAGAGAGAGAGAGAGATAGATGCGTTAACGAAAGTGCACGGTGTTTGCGATCCGCCTATTCTAATGTAAACTAATATAAGCCGTGAGCCGGTATCGTGTCGTCCACTCCGGTTCCGGTGGGACGCATGCGTGAGCATTTCTCCGTGTGTATCGCACCGCGAAGAGTCAATTGTCACACATCGCACGAATGGAACGCGCATCGTTTCATGGTGTGCGCGGACGAGTCGCGCGTTTGTGAATAAGTACGCGCTTCTGTGTCGTGTTTCGTTCGATGCTGTACGATCGCATTTAATGATAATAGACGACAAGCGTCGTGACAATGTGACGCGTTCCGTTCTCAATTGTGAAAAAAGATCCGTCGCGATAGAACGTTTTTCCTTTCCTGTAACGCATTGTTGAGGAAGATTTATTCTGAAAACAGAAAAGAGGGAAAAGGATAGAAAAGTCGCTCGATTAATTAAATCGGAATACAATCTGATGAGACAAACTCTGTTAAATTTTAAGTAGATATTTCAGAATAATATAACATTACTCTGTAGTGATATTGTACTTATTAATTAAATATTATAATGATTATACATTTGATTATATATTTGATATTTTATTTATTTATTTCTATTCTCCTCTATTAAGTTTTATAAATATATATAAATTTATCAGTGTCTCTCTCACTCTCTCTTCTCTGAATACAAAGAAAAAACACGTAGATCTATTTTATATAGAAAAATATTTAATTCAAAATACAAAGTGTACCCTCTTGTTAAAAAATATTGCATTCGTATGTTTGTGTGTAATATCACAGTACAATATATTTATATTAATTTCCTTAATATAATATATTACATATTTTGTACTAGAGTTTTCTTCCTTGCACCTAATGAATTTGCCGAAACGTTTGATCGTGCGAAGTCGTCGTTTGATCGTCGGCAAGACACTCTTTATTTTCTCCACGAAAAACAATTTCTATATTGTGCTCGAGATTGGTGTCTTTGATTATATCCACATTCTGTCTCGAAGCCTGTGTGAGAATTAAGACTTGATTAGAAAGTACAAGGATCACGCGATTCAGATTTTTACAAATTTATATCTAACCAAATCCAACGATGCCAAAAAATATCTGGCCACTTCGTAACTGCTTTCCTTCTGTACGACACTATCAAAATTGATTTTTTGCTGACCGTCCGCCTTTAAAACGTTCATAATTCGCGACGCGTAATCGCGAATGCAAAACGTCGATCTTCGCTCGGCCTCGTGCAGTTTAGGCTGTATCGACTCGTGCCACTTGTCGACACTTTCCTGAGACAATCACAATCCGTGTTAGATTTTACAAGCGACACTGTTTTTTTTTTTTTCGTATTATTTTGTCGCTCATCAACTCACCGATACTAAATAGTCCGTTGGAAGCCAAATATCAGAAGAAGGACTTCTGTGCGAAGGCGACATTTGAACAGGACTCGCAACGTGAATTTCTGACATTTCGTCGTCGTTCGATATCGTCATAACGTTGCCGTCGATATTCGCGGCATCATCATCGATATCTTCGCGTAATCGAAATCCCAAGAGATCTGTCGTCTCGTTCGTTACGTCTTCGTATTGCTGAGCATAATACTCCTGTATACTTTTTACGCAAGCGCTCAAACTTTTCTCGAGCATGTTTAATCTTCCTGAAAAAAAGAAGATTAATTAGCAAATAAAAAAGTTGATGTCGGATGTTCTTTTGCAAACCGACTATAACGCACTTACTTTTTGGCGAGGAACATGATTCCTCCAATAATCGCTTGGGCGTCATTTTTATCGCGCTACTACGTTTTTTTCTAGGAGTTCTTAGTCTCCTTAGTTCTTTCTCGCTTAGTTTTCTCTTAGACTATAAGTAAAAAAAAAAAAAAAGATATTAGTAATATATTAGTGATATTTTATTATAGCAACACAAAAAAAAAAGATGTTATATATATATTAAAAATGATATGCACCGATCTTGAAGTGGAATTTCGCAGTCGCAGTTTGTTTTTCGTATCATTACTACGAGGTGTAGTTAGTACAGAGCTGGTAAGTAACTTTTCCGATTCGTCCGCCGGTAAAGTCCTAAAACAATATCATTGATTTCGAAAATCTGATACAACACATATATTACATTATGTTAATGAAAAAATTAGAAATACCGCTTCTCTTTTGAATCTATCGATTGACGTCTATCTAACGGACTATCTAACGGACTGCCAAGATCATCCGAATATCTGGCGTCCGAATCGTTGTTATTCGAGGTGCTGCTGTCGATATTTGGTATTGGCGAACTCGTATCGCGAGACAAGTTCATGCTACTGACAAAAGTTGTTTCTTGGCAATCGCTTGGTGTAATTGGCGTTTCGACGACCGTTCTGTCGCTTTTTTCGGATAAGGACGAGGTTTGTTGATTCGATGAAAGAGATGTATTTTCGGTAACTTCTTCTTCTAAAGAACCGTCATTATTCATTTGTTCGGTTTGGTCAAAAGTTTCACGAGCACTTTCATTCTCTTGTACATTAGAATCGGTTGTTGACGTATTCCATGAGGATTCCAAGGATTCTGTGTCGTGTGAATTTGACGATCTGAGCAACGAGAATTTATTGAAAGCAACGTCATCATCTGTACAAAAATCTGAAACAGAGATAATACAACAGATATAAATTAGAAAAACATTGTAAGAAAAGAAACATTTTTACGACCAATCGTGTGTACCTTGAGGAGCGAACTCGTCGATCAATATACCATCCATACTTATGTTCTGATTACATCTACAAGTATTATCATCATTTTGTTTTTACTTCTGTAGGATCTATTGATATATTGAATCTATTGATATATTGAAAAGAATTACATTTACTGAGATGACTTACCGAAAGTCATATTTTTTACCAATGACTTCTCCATTCACATCGTACATATCAATGGAAACATTCTGCATGCTACTTTTTTCTAACTGAGTGAAGCGATAGCACTTTGATTTAACTGTATTTTGCATCATGTGATTCTTCTTAATATCAATAGTCCTTATATCGATATTCTTTTCCATCTCATTTGAAAAGTTGATATTTTTAAATTCTTGAAAACACGTGTTGACTTTTCTTTCCTTTTTCTTAGACGAACACTGCGTCTCTTCTTCGTGTCTGCAAATAATATAAATTGCACTTCATTATTCTATAATTCACAGTCTATATTATATAAAGTAATATAAAAAATCCGCTTACTCATAATTCTCGAATATACTTCTGAAATATTCGATTTTATGCCGCAGAGAATCGACTCTGTGCGCGTACACGGCAGTAGAGTTCTGTAAAACAAGCCCGGCTTCTCCGAAGCTGTGATTGTGTGTTGTATTGAACAATGAGCAATACCTCTCCAGAGTCTGGAACAATTATAAGGATGTTCGTATATTATGTTATCACTGAAAATGGTAGCGCGGCCGTACTTGTGAAAAGGGAAAATTCCACTCTGCTAATTCTTTTATCGGTCTCGTGAGTTGTACGCCAATATTTTGTACAGTAACCATTGTAGCTATACCAGTTCACATCAACTTGTTATCTTCCGATTGTCACATAAAAACAGCTGATACAGTCTCAAAAAGACAGATTTTTTCTTTTCGACTGTGTTCCAAAATTATTTGTCAGTACCAAACAATCCTATAATTCACGTCACGTATAGGCGATTTTTGGCGATCGTACGGTACATATACCAAGGCTGCGGTCCGTTTCATGCTTAAGCGCACATTTATCTATAGTATACGTGACATATACTATAGATAAATGCGCGATTAAGCATGAAACGGACCGCAGCCCAAGTGTATCAAACTATAATTTGAAGTCACTCGAACTATAGTTTGGTACACTTTGGTACATGTACCATGCGATATCGTCAAAAATCGCCTTAAGGTATCTTTTCATACAGCAGCACGTTGCGACAGCAAAATGTCACGTGACTCAAATTTTCTAGGACCGCTTCCGCTAGGTATATTTGCTGCTCTTACCTAACCCTCACTCGATGACATTCTCTGCGAAGTTCAAACGAACAAAAAGCAGCAAACCGGGAAAATTTTATTGTTGATACTTATGCAATAACTCCATCAACAATATCAAATATAATTATATCAAATATAATTCCATCAACAACAAAGAATGGAATCGAATGAGAGTTGGGTAAGAGCAGCAAATATACTTAGCGGAAGCAGTCCTAGAAAATTTGAGTCACATGACGTTTTCTTTTTTTGCTGTCGCAGCGTGTGCTGCTGTATGAAAAGGTACCTTTATATATTATACAATTTTCTCTGCCGGCAGTGAAAATTTTGGAACACGATCTCTATCATCACAGGAGGATTGCTCGTCGATCATTTTTATGCTGTAATGGAGATTAAACAGCGTCTCCGTCGTCTAGTGACTGGAAAGTAAAATATTGCTGGCGGTTTCTTCGAACCTGATTATTGCGGGCCGTTTGTTTCTATCAGAATCGGTAAGGTTCAACTACAAGACTTCAACATTTTGGTTTATAATGAATAAACGTTTTATTAAAAATCCTATTGTTGGACTTTGAGCCGGTTCCGGTATAAGTTATCGCTGCCGTAAACCTAAAGTTTCAGGCTCTTGTTTCAAAAAGTAACAGTTTTGTTACATGTCAATAGCTAATAATTTATTTTACATACAGTTTATATGTAATCAAAAAACTTTCCCGCCCTTTCGTTACCGCTCTCGCTAAACCGTACGCGTAGAAAACCAGGAGATCGTGAATGTGAATATCTCACGTTTTTAATTTCAAAAATTCACAAAAGGCAATTGTCACCGTTGATGAGAGATAGCGAGATTTTTAACAGTCCTTGAAAAATATTTTGTATTCATTGGTTTTCTTTATTTCCAATACAATAACATTTGTTATAGATATACAAAACTTTTCTATTGTTACCTTTCACCTTATTTGCGACATCAGTAATAAAGCGTTCGTTATTTGTATGGGCTCCAACACATGTTTGCTGAATAGCAATGCACAGTGTGTACTTAATTATCATTTGAACAAGTATGCAATGTATATATACACATACGTTGCATATCTTTTCACGCATGCGCACGGGGGGACCTTGTCCCCGTAAAATCTTTTCACGCACTCTAAAAGCTGCGGGAAGGAAGTATTCCCGTATGTGCATGTAATGTTTTCCGGTTTGCAGACCGAATATTATAAGAAAAAGTACACGACAGCACTCCGGACAACGGGGGAGGCACGTACAAGGTAATGGAGGAACGTGCGGAGAAGGACAGTGCGAGGAAGTGACTCATACGCTGGTGCTACAACCTAGCTGTAACTCACGTATCGCGTATTGTGACAATATACAGTTGCGTACGTTACGCGGTGAAGCCGGTTGATGATTGCTCGTACGTATCACACGGTTGTGTAAATTAAAGCGTTAAAATAATTTTATATAAGTAATTCTGTTTTTTTTTTTTTTTTTTATCTAATTTCTTTATCTCTCTGTCGAGTAAAATATAAGATACACATATTACTAATTAACTTTATAGATTTTTCGAGTGTCCCGACGCGATGTAAAAATATGTAAGAAATTCTGTTTTATTAAAACTAAAACAATAATGTGCGAAATTCTGTTTTACTGAAACTGTTCGTATTGTAAAAAAAAAAAAAAAAAAAAAACCAGTAGCTTTGCAACTTCACGTAATTTATATTATTCTGAGGTATATTCAGTTTTTATGTGTGCGATTGTGAATTGTACATACTTCTGATATGGTTTTTCTTCCGTATCAGACATTTGTCTCATAGATATAACTCACTACCGGTGATTGTCAACAACAGCAATTTTGAGCTGTAGTACTTATCAACGATAAAAATGTCGTTCGAGTAACACGAGACAAGGCGCAGTAAGAGAGTGCGAAGGTGTCGCGCGCCTTGACATTACTTTAATCCTCCTAATCCGTCGATGTGTTTATATTCGTCGTAATGCCTGTCACCTCGGCAACGGACAGATGGGCTTCGAAAATAGTTATTGTGGTGCAGTTGATCACCTGGAACGCCATTGGTATTGTCATTATACAGTCAGGCGTTAGTACTTTGCAACAACGAATGTTAGAAGCGACTAGCCATTACGCCGAGGTACGCAGAATTTAATTAATTACATTCATATTAATTATATTTGTATAAATACATAGATACATACATACATACATGCTTTATCCGTAACCGTTTTAAACGGTAGAGTTTCATATTTTTCCTTTTGTTGTCATATGTAAACGTGTGTTGTTCTTTGGATATACATGTATGTGTGCGTGTGTGTGTGTGTGTGTGTATGTACGTATATGAGAGTGTGCGCATAACATATGTTTACGTTTCTGTACGAACATGTCATCTTCGCAACGATCGGTTCGAATGACCGTGGCGCCTCGCTTGCGAACAATCTATTTCGCAGCGCGGTAAACAATTAAATAAATGTGTGAAAAATCTTGAGATACAGTAATAATCTATAACTTAAAAACTCAGTAGATTATATCGCGAAGAACACGCAATTTTTGAATAGAAAAGTAATAACTAATTAATTTTCCATCGAATTAATCAAAGAGAAAAAGATTGATTATTAAAACATAAAAATATTTGCTTTCATTCAAAGCTTTGTGATTATATTTGGAAATAGTACATTTCGTTGATGATATATATGATTGACACGCGCTCATCAGCGATAATATCTGACTCACGCGTTCAGTCTCTTAAATTAATCTTATCGACTCGATAAGAAGTACAGAGCCAAGTAACTCTAAGGTCGCGTAATTCAAAAATCAAAATAACCCCTCAGACCATCAGCATATCTTAAGTTCTCCTCTCGTGTTGTTCACACTCTAGCAAAGAAGTTTAAGTTATACGGAATAACGGACCCCGCACACTTTATAAGTTACGTGACATATCGCTGTATTTGAATTCCTTTATTCTTTCACAGACAAATTCAACAGTTAATTCGGACATAGAATCTACGGAACGCAATGAAAACGATCTTAGTACTGTAGTTTCTACGCGGCAACGCGTGATCGATAAGAACACAAAGGTAAAAATTCTGATAAATTTAAATGTGTCTAGAAATTATTTGTCGGTGTAATTTTTATAATCGTTTCTTCTGGAGGACGAATCATCCACGCAGTCTCTGTTGGATTATTCCGGAGCCTCGGCGACTGGCCGAGAAATATCGAACACGCGAGTAAATAATCATTTAGCTGAAGAAGATCGATCTGTCAATTATTCCAAAAGTAAGGGTATTTGGGACAAAATCGCGAGAATAGGTCGCGACAACGAACGCGAGTCGCAAATATCAAATAGCTTTCGCACGGATTCCATGTTGAAGCCGGCTTCGAAGGAGGAGGATGAGACTGATGCGAAGAGAAAGAGTTCCTTTGTAGAAACCGCACTGAATAATGGACCGCGATTTGTGACGCTTGACCGAGCGAAAGAAGCGACGCCAGAGAATATTGACAGTCAACTTGCCGATATTATTTGGAGAAATAGAAACAGAGAGAAATTGTACTATGTACGAGCAAACGATGTAACGATGGGCGTCGGTTTGGTGGTGATTGGATGCATCATGTTGCTGATAGGAGTGGCTGTGATTATTATACGAATTTTAGACGAGAAAAGACGGGCGAAGGATGCGTACGCATTGTCGTGGGAAGACCCACCGCCAACATACGCAGAAGCTGTCTATCTAAGCGAAGCACCTAGATATTCGACGCTTGCTTTGAACGAGTAAAGTTCATTTCTTCGTCCTTTTTTTTTAACCGTTTTTGTTTTGTCAAATTTTATAATCAAGTCAAAGTTTATGTAGATATATTTATTGTCTTTTATGTATATGTTTACATGTACGTGTCATTTTTTTACAATAAAAATGAATAAAAATTATTTTTATTGTAATAAAAATTAGATTTTTTTATTATTATAATAAAAATTGTCTTGAAACTTTCAGAGTCTAATGAATTCTTTTTCTTTTCTCTTCCCTCTAAAATCACATTCACAAACAAATTGTAAGTATAAAAAAAATCTAAAAACACGGAAGGAAAAAGTAATATTATATATATACTCTAGGAAAAATGTTCAATATATTTTTTTTGCGATGTGTTTTTTCTAAAAAGTTAAAAGTATACAAATATTTATTTTACAAACAACATAGTCGTTTATTATGTTATCTTTTTTTTTATAACATGGAAGTAGATTTGATTGTGTTGCAAACATCAACATCATTTGATAAATTATTTTCTGCTATTCATACTTTGCGCCATGAAGATTGTGAATGTTACAACACGCGTAATAAACTGCAAGAAAATAGAATAAATTATATACGAGGGGAGCAAACACATTTTATGAGATTTATAAGGATAAGTGAAATTAATTCAAACCACATTTTAAAGAACATGTAAATAATTACATTTATAAAAAATGTAATGTAATATAAAAATATAGAATATCTAATAATGAAAACCTACTCTTTGCAAAAAGTAATAGCCAAAATCAAAAAAACCCAATCCAGTGAACTTTACCGGATGAAATATTACTTGTAATATAAATTGGTGAATCTACCACACATACAAAACCGTTATTTTAAAATATTTATAAAATATAAATTTTCAGTTTGTCTTTTTTATATAAATATAAAAAAAAGTAAATTTTACCTCATCACGAATATCAGCACGTAGAAAAGAGTTTGTCATGTGATTAATTATTTCCTGTATTTTCTTAGCCTAAGATTAATTTTATATAAATGTATATATATATACATATAGAATACATATTTTTTCTCACGTAAAACTTACTTAAACTTCAAAATATATTTACCTTAGCGCTAGTAGTTTCGCAAGTATAATTAAAATAAAACACCTTGATCAGAAAGAATGAAGTCCAAAATTGAATGGCAAGCCAATTTATTGTCGTCCACCTTTTGTTATCTAGTGCTAATACATGTAGAACTTCAAACGAAAATATTCTTGATACAGTCGTTAGATAGCCTATCATTTCCAAAGTCATTTGCGTTCCAAAGAGTGCGTTCAATTGGCGAGCTATCTGGCACAATTCTAAATGCAGATGCCTACCGATAAATAAATATTTGTCGATACGACAAACATATATGAGAAAACTCTATTAAATTTCTAAAAAAAAAAAACTATTATATTAAAAATCAAAACTTTATATCTAATTTTAAATGTACGTTTTCCGTTAGATTAAATCATTGAACTATTCAAACACATTTGTGAACCAATTTACATTGAGGTCCAGAGCACGTGCTTGTAATTGTCAGCACACGTCACGTGTTGGCGAACGACCGACGCAGATTTTCTCCCTGTATGTCTCAATATTTGTTTCTCTTGTATTAGACATCTCATGTGCTCGTTTACTTCGTCAAATCTCGTGCCGATATACCTTCGCAAAGTAAAATTAATTAAAAAAGTCAAGTGTATAATTTATGCTGCCTTTTTTGATTTTATATATCGGGGATTTTCCCTTAGTAGTTTATGTACGATTATATACGACCATAAATAAATGGATTTGAATAATATACGAACCACAACAGAGTCAAAAATAGCACATCCACAATCATATTAACGTGATACACATGATTCAAAACGAACGGTATGATTATGTACCAACGACTGTTCAGCATCTGTTCCCACCATTTTATGTCAAGTGTATTCCCAATAAGACTACACATTAACCATACAATTATCATGCCCTTTACATATGCGCGCAATGCTTTGTGCGTTTTTGGAGTGCCCAACTCTGCCAACGTGTAGTCTACGGCAGCAAGTCTCTCCAAAAATGTCCAAAATCTCTGAACAACATTAGATCAAATCTGAGATATGTTTCCGTTTTCCGGTAATGTGTGCAAAAGATAGGTAATGCATTAGAATTGAGAATTATTTAACCTTTTTTACTGCAATTTTGGAAAAATTATAATGTAAAATATCAATAGACGCGTACAGACAAATTTATGAAATCGCTAATATTCTTGTTAAATAAAATGTTTTATTACTTAAAAATTCCCGACGAATGCGACTCGTCATTGCATATTTTGACATGAAAAGCTTGTGACGAGTTGGACGCGTTATTTCAGTGCAAGGGGTTAATATATGCGTACTAAAATAACAAGAATCGCAAATTATTTGGAAATAACAGATCTTAAGGTGGTATAAAACATTATCTCCAACGATTAGTATGATTATCTGTACCTTAGAGTTATATACGCTTAAGATAATTGATGCGGCGCAAGCGACAATGCTACATCCTAGATTACTCATGGAGAATATATCGTAGAAGACTTCTTCTATTTCTAATGCAGTAACTGTGTAATACACTAGATAACAATAACCGATCCAAAATGATATATTGTAGAATATATGTAAATACCATTTCTCTTGAAAACAAATACCTAGACCGAACGCCGAACTGACTAGAAATAGAGGGTTTAAAACTTGTTTTACAGTCATAGTGATATCACTCCGAGTTTCTAACGTCAAATGACTTGTATGTCCGCTTGGACATACTTTCCATTTATCACTCTGAAAGAATAATGTGTGTATATATATTTCCTCAGTTTAGAATAATGTTACTTTAATACATATTATATTGCTATGATACATTACTTGACTCCCTCGCAAATGACAGAGCCGGTCGATATTATTGCTAATGAAAATGCTTCAAAAAAAAAATCTTCGAGTCGCTATCTTTAATCATATTTATAATCACTAGTATTACAGCAAGAAGATACAAAATTTTAGTTACAAGGTCAAATTTTTATAATATTAATATGTTCAAATTAAATTGCTTTTTGATTGTAAATATAAATTTCTTCTTTTTACGATCCGTTTTGTTATAAGAAATATTAATTTGAAATGAGCAACATTGTATATTTTTAATTTTTCGAACGTGTTAAAAAAAATCGACTTTTAAAGTGAATAAGAGACAAGGAAAATAGAACAAACAAATTATAGTTAAAACGAAGAAGAGGAGATAGAAGGTGTAGAAAGTTGATAAGGCAGTGTAGGCAAAAGTGATAAGGGGTACCTTTCAGAATTGCAATGAAAGAATAGTATAATAATGCACATATAATTTAACGTGGAGAGAACTTTCTGTAAAGTAATAATTATAGTGCGTCGTACAGCGGTAGTTAAAATAAGATTAAGAATAAGAATTAAAAAAACCAAAGAGAAAGGAGGATACAGGTGTGTAAGAACAGTAGGATAGGAAGAAGTTATTTAGATAGTTATGTAAATGTGTAAATTTGTAAATTTTGTAAATTTTGTAAATAATAATGTAATTAGAATAAGATAACATTTTTATGGCTATATGGTGAAAGGAAGGATATGTAAACCAAGTTCCTTTTTTGGCCAAACGGCTGAAATATTAATAAATAAAATTTAAAAAATAAAAGTTAATAAGAGACGAGTTAAAAGAGTTTATGTGTGTGCATGGTAAGTATCTTACACTATGGTGTGTGTGTGTGTGTGTATGTGAAAATATGTACTGAAAAAAATCGAACACTTTCGCCGCGACCTCTAGTAACCGAAGTGAATTCATCCAACATGGTGCTGGAAAGTACAATGATATGGTGAGTCTTGAATTTTGTTAAATCTTATATGTTTGCGCGTTGCTTTTTTGCGAAATTCCTACAAATATGCAATATCTGTTTATTATAAATAAAAAATGTAAACAAAAATATTAATATCGGTTCGATTTTGTACACGTGCAACTGATTGAATTGCGACTTAAAGGTTAGAATTATGACAATGACGTTGACATTTACTGCGTTCATAGATTGGAGAGATCGTCGAGTTGCTTGTTCACCTCAAACTATGCTTTTGCCTCGATAAATTCGATCGAATCGTCGAACGATCTCTTCTCGAGGCGAAAGAGCAAACCGACGCTTCGTAACTTTCACGAAACTGAACGCGACAAAAATCTTGATTTTTAAATTCTCCGAATTTGTTTTTAACTGTTTACAATTTTTGTTTAAACTGTCACTTTGAATTTACTTTGTTTGTATGCTCCTTTACAGCGTCGACAACAGCGATTATATGAGAAATGGAGATTTTGTACCCACTAGATTGCAAGCGCAACAAGATGCCGTTAATTTGGTGTGTCACAAGACTCGGTCAAATCCTGAGAATAACGTTGGCCTCATAACTCTTGCTAAGTATGTGTAACAAAATTTAGATATTTGTTAGATATACATATATAACGTATATATATTTGTCTTTGTAGTGTCGAAGTATTAGCAACACTCACAAGTGATGTTGGCAAGATCTTGTCCAAGCTTCATCAAGTCCAGCCAAATGGGAAATTGTCTCTCATTACAGGCATTAGAATTGCTCACGTAAGTATATATACTTTATTTAAGTATGTATACTTTATTTGGACTTAATAAAAATGTATCTGAACAAACATGTATCACAAAATGATTGTTAAACATTTTAGTTAGCGCTGAAACATCGACAAGGCAAAAATCACAAAATGCGTATCGTTGCGTTTATCGGAAGTCCCATAGATATCGATGAGAAAGAATTGGTGAAATTAGCTAAGCGGTTGAAGAAGGAGAAAGTAAATGTCGATGTCATAAGTTTCGGCGAAGAAAGCATCAACAACGACGTATTGACAGCCTTTGTGAACGCTTTAAACGGCAAGGATGGTACCGGAAGTCATCTTGTTACTGTCCCGCCAGGACCGCATTTGTTAGACGCTCTGATTTCATCTCCCATCATTCAAGTTGAAGACGGAATGGGCGCAGCTGGGATGGGTAGTGCTGCCTTCGAATTCGGTGTCGATCCCAATGAAGATCCCGAGCTTGCATTGGTTGGTACATGCAAATACGTTGCTATTGAAGTTTTGTGTTGCGAGAGAGATAGCGATGAGTTTTATATATGTTTAGGCTCTGCGCGTCTCCATGGAGGAGCAACGACAACGACAAGAAGATGAAGCACGTCGCGCCCAAGCGAACGAAACCACTGCGAGTAAACAGCCGGAGATCACAAAGGAAGCTCCCAACGAAGAAGCTATGCTGAAACGCGCCCTCGCTATGTCTCTTGAAGGAGCCGACGAATCCACAGCTTCTACAGAAAATACCGTTTCGGCCGGCAGAGGCACAGTACCAGATTTTACTAATATGACGGAAGAAGAACAGATCGCCTTCGCTATGCAAATGTCCATGCAGGACCAGCGTAAGTCTTTAAAAATACGAGTCGAAGTAATTAATATTTACTTTACCTGATTTCTATAATTCACTTTTTTTAGAAGAGTTAGAATCGCAAAAGGAAGAGGCAATGGACGTCGAGGAAGATTACGCAGCTGTCATGTCCGATCCCGCTTTTCTGCAGTCGGTTCTCGAGAACTTGCCGGGGGTGGATCCGCATTCGGAAGCCGTTCGTCAAGCTGTCGGATCGCTGCAGCAAAATAAAGACAAAGAAAAAGAGAAAGAAAAGGACAAAGACAAAAAATAAACCGTTCTCTTTCTTAGTTTGCTTATATATTTACTCTGTTGGTTAAATTCGAAATTTTTCATTTATAATATATGTAGCTATCAATCTTGATTATAAAATATACTAAGATCTAAAACTGCCTCTTAAACACAGTTTCGAAATCATCATTACAAAATACATGACTGTTAATTTAAAACACCTTTCACTCTTCCCTCGTGCGGCCTTTTGAATAACCAATTCACACAACACTGGTAATTTACGATTTTATATTTCCTTCAAGTCGTTTATATATATATGAAAGTAGAGTACAAAATAGAACTTATATATATATTAGCTTTTTTAATATGCTAAATTGCGCATATACATGATTTTTTTTTTTTATCAACATATAGACATACACAATCAAACTTTTATTTTATATATATTTATATAGCCTATACATTGCGGTCTATAGTTATAAGGTTCAAATAATAAATATGTCACAGCAATTTCTGCACTATTAATGTTCTGTTAATAGTGCTTGCATTTCTATCTTGAAATAATATAGAAAAATCGTATTAGATTTTTCATATATTAAAGCTAGACAATAGCATAAAACGGAAGTTTGACTTGTACATAAATTATTTCAATTTTTCATTCGTATATCATACAAGGGAGAATTTACAGAACGAATGCTAGTTTGATAGTTTGTTTAAAAAAGTACTACTATGTCTTCTTCCCATTCTATAACAATTCAAACGTCATTCTTTCTCGCGATATTTGACATCCTTAAGGTTACTTTTTTTTTCTTGATAAATATGTGATCGTTAACTAGTTAGTAATTTTTTCTTTCACTCTGTATATGTATATAATAATCCCACACCTGTCTTTTATACAGTCGTTATAAATATTATGACTTTTTTCTTCTATATGGAAGATTTATATTCGCCAAATCGTTACGCTCAGAATATTGCTATGAGAAACTCAAACTGGCTTAACACTTAAGAACTTATACCCACATTTAACTGACATTCGAATATGCGTTCGTTGTTATTTTATATTTAACTTCGATCACTATCAGAGTCTTGTCGTCTTCTGTACAACGCTACGTTGCTCTCGGTATAGTCCATTACGCGACGTTGACATTGCCTCCTGTATTGTTGCTGTTTATGATACAACTTAAACGCGCCTTTTATCGTTATAAACGCTGCGCCACCCTGTTAAAATAAAGAAAAAAAAATATTATTGTGAATACTTTTCTGTGTTTTTGGTAATTACAACGATGCTGCAAGTTGAAACGCCAACATACCAGCAATGTTCTCTGCAAATTTGAGCTTATATTTTCGAAAAATAATCTTCCGCAAAGGCTAGCAATGGTTGGCAATAGAAGAGCGCCGCAAAGAACACGAGTCGTAGATACTGGATCGTTCATCGGCGGTATATCCTCAGATTGAATATTTGTGTCTTCATCGGAATAACTGTGATACACATTATATCAACAGTGTTTTCTTCTGTATTATACACACACAATGCAACAAAATTGATTTTTGTTACAAATACTGCTGATACAAACCTACTGGGCAGAAAATGCCTCAAAATAGGAACTTTGGACGCATGTCGCCTTAGGAAACTGAGAGCCTGATCTTCCCATCGAAGCATTTTTCCCAACACCAACATAATTGGAATAGTCGGCAAGCCAACCAGCAGAACTAGAGGATCGGCTTGTTCCATCATAGTAAGACCATCCTTGTGACCTACCACTTGCATGACAGTAACTGCGCCGTATGTCACAGCCGTCCAATATATGGATCCGACTACTATACCAGCAGCAATAAATGGACACACTCGGAAAATAACTGCATCGATTGTATCGAGCACTACCACAAACGGACCTACAATTAAATTCACACACATAATACATACAAAAAGATAGCTATAATAGTTATAATAATAATAATAATGCTTACCCATATTTGGATAAACTATAATATATTCTGTGTTACACTGTGGACAGGCCACAGAGTGTCCAGCGTGACCTTTCTGCTTTTCATCGACCCATCTCTGTATGCAGCTCTGATGAACCCATTTTGTAGTACCTCGGCAATGACATGGCTTAACCCAAGCAGCAGTTGCATCATCCTCATCTGTTGCAAAGCACACCCAGCAATATCTCCTGCTGGTTGAAGTCAATACACATTATCCGATAAGACAAGAACAATTGATAAAATAATCAACTTTCTACGATTTTATAAAAACAATATAATATTAAGTTATAATATAATATTGTAACACAAACAATAAATATAAAAATTTACTCTTCTTCTGAAGTTAAAGATGGCACACTAGATGTATTTTGATTTGGAGAAGGTGCATGATCGGTGATGTCAACAGACAAGTCTTGATCTGTTGCCTCATCCCATATGTTCTGAGATCTTTCCTCCTCGTATGCTGTTATTTGTGCCATTTGAGGATCAGATGCTTCTGCTGTGAAAAAAGAAGAAGGAAAAAGAAACTAAGATTCTAATTTGCAAATTCCTTTTGATTAAAAGATATTTCTTCCACCGTACCATTACTAGAACTGTCTTGTCTATCAGTTCTTAAATTTGTACTGAGTCTCCTCAAAGCCTCCTCTATGCTTGGAAAACGTCTGATATTTGCTCTGGTTATACCCGACTCGATCCGCACTATTCTTCCACGGCTATCAAGCCCATACGAGATATGCGCCATGTTATTCTCTGACATCGTGTCTTGGTGAAACGAAAGTACCCACAAATTGGAGCACTTTATACATCCATCAAAAACACACAAAAAAAAAAAAAAAACCAAAATTAGAACATTCACAATTACTTTCAAAACTTACAATTGATTCGATATTTTTTTTTTAATTACACATAGCAAATCTGTAATTTTATATAGTTTGTCGTTATTTCCTCATATACTCTTTTACGAAAGAAATTACAGCACTGACTCTACAACGAGACGAGAATTGTTTTCTAACCTTTGAAACATAACAAAACTTACAGAAATACGCATTTATATTCACTGATTGCACGAATGAATGCCATTACGCAATTTTATACATGTACACATCACGTACATATGAGAGATCACTTTTTCATCGATATGTTATTTATCGTGATTAAAGTTCGTCTTATAACAAATTGCTTTACAATAACGTCAAGTACGGGACGACAATTCAATCAAATACATAAAGTATCGTGTATCAATAATATGAACATAATGATGATACATCGAATTTTTCACCTTGTTAACAAAATGTCGTTGTGATTCGTTGAGCAATATATAACGTGCGTAAGCGTGACGAATTTTTAACCGCGTGTGCGAACGATCGTCTCTCATGGGATACGCGATAAAAAAAAACCTCCGTACTACGCGTCACGCGCACACAGAAGGACGAAACGCGATTTATCGGCACAATATGGTCGGACAATTGCAAAGCGCACAAAAACCGCAAGCTTATTCTCGGCGTTTTATGCCGGATCCCGAGATCTTCCCGAAAAAGACAACGATGCGAACATCACCTCGCCGAGATGCGACACAAAGACGTGAATCTGACGGGTGAATACAAGAATCACCTTTTTCTGATGATTTGTGTATATATGCGCGATATGTTTGCACATGTATATATGAAAAAAGAACAAAATTATAACCGAGGGTTTTATGAGACAATTTTATCTGTGCCGATCATCTTTATTGCAAATATATTTCTTTGATATTTATAAACGATCCATTACTCGGTCCATTCGGATTCGGCCGCTCCGATACGTTCACCAGGAACTCGAGAGAGGGGAGGATCAATTTGTAATCTTATCATCAGAGAGAGAAAACTGAGAGCGGCCAGCGCTACGTCCACGGTGGTGCACATTGGTAACTACGTAGCCATTGTCCGCTTTGTCGGTGAGTACGTCTATGGTTCTTTTTGGTGATATATTCACAGCGTGTGGTTCTATTTCGTGCTGCTATCGGTATTATAGCCGTGCACTGCAAACTCGAATCGGCCATCATCAAGAGAATCGGCGTTAGGGATGAGCCACAGATTATTATAGAAATCTGTGGGGATGAGCATATGATATCGATATATCGACAATATGGATATAATTTTTTTGATATTTGATATTTTAGTATCGATATTCTGTTATTGATAATATCAAAAAGATATCGATAATTTTATTTGATATTGTCAATATTAATAATTATTGCCCACACAGCAAAGTATATCTGAGATGTAAATCAGATATCTCAGTGATATCTGACTAGTATTTACGCAATCAGATATTCTGATATTTAGATATCTTCCAGATATCTTTATGATATATTTTGCTGTGTAGGTGAATATATATATTATATATATATTCAATAATTCCGATCAAACAATGCGATATTCAATATCAAATAAAATACTCGATATCTTTTTGATATTATCAATAACAGAATATCGATACTAAAATATCAAATATCAAAAGAATTATATCCATATTGTCGATATATCGATATCATATGCTCATCCCTAATCGGCGTACATTATTTGCGAATTAATTGCTTTTTTCAACTTTTTTTAATCACACCAGAAGCAGTACATGTTACTGTATCTGACAGTCCGCAGACTTCGATACGACCAAAGCCGTCGCAATATCAGATTTTAAAAAAGCAATTAATTTTCCAGAATTGTTTTTCTTCGAACAGCAAGAACACAGCTATGTTGTTGCCATGACCGCTCTCAATTGTCAGTAAAATTACAAAAGTTAGAATTAAAATCACTTTGTGGAATAAGATTCAAAAACATACGTTCGGTTCCATCGATGTCTTCTCACATGAAGGTACGCCAATCGTCGGGGCTGCGTTTGAAAATGTTCTCGATTCGATGACGAGAAGAAATAGCGAGAAATATTGGAGTAATGCTGCATCTTCGAACGATCATTGTAATGTTTGATGATAAAATAACGGCAATTGTAATGATGACACATGATTGGAAACTTCTCTTTTTTCCTGATGGCGATATATTTATATCTGAAATTATAATAAAAACAACTGAAATAATTCTAAATGTCACGAGAAAAGCCCCAAAACATCTCCGTTTTTTTTTTTTTTTTTTTACTAAAACAACCGTCATCGCTTACGAAGCGACAAGATATTACTGGCGGGATTACATGTCAATAGCTATTATACGATGAAACATGTTCAATTTGTCACAAAAGAAGAATCCGCCATTGCAATGACGCGTGTGTAGCAAAAAACAAACCATTGCTAGTGGCATTGTATATTAATAGTTATTCCACGATGTTCTCTCTCTCTCTCTCTCAATGTGTCCCGAAAGAAGGCCCAGAACGCCTCGATTCTATGGGAAAAAACCGCCATCGCAACGTGTGTAAAGCGAAAAAAAATATATATCTTTTTATCTCATTAGAGCTGATATTTCTTGCGACTTTTTGCGGTCCTAAAGTTTTGTTAGAAACTGAACTACTGGACAGCATTTTTAATATTTAATGCATTCTTCGTGAAATTCCATGTTGCCCCGCGAAATAGCGAGCTTGCGCAATGATCACCTTTCGCGAGAGAGAACGAGACGAGCTCCTAAACAATAGGTAATCTTCGACATGAACATTTTAGAACATACAGGCTATAGGGGTATATATCATCATTCGCTCGTTCGCACATTTTGCAAATAAACATCTAAAATGTTCTCAAAATAAAAACTTGTTCTAATGAAAAGCGCGCTTTTTTGTCTTAGATTTTGTGTGGGCAGTTGAATTAAATCGGTTCGGCCTGGAACTGACCGGGTTGTGGCCCGAAACAAACGAAGAAACTAAAAATGACTACGCGTCCGATTTTCGGGTTGGCTTCATTTTCGTTTTGGTGACGTTTGTTTCTGGCATTCCGCTTGTGTGCGCGCTCATCCAAGTTCGAACTGACGATATGATTCTTGTGATGGACAATTTGCAAATCACTTTACCACTCATGGTGGTCTTGTTGAAACTCGTCATCATGCGGTGGAAACGAACAAGTATGTGAGAAATTGCTCAAAATTTGTTGCGCAAGTCACCTAAATCACTTGATTCTTCTAATTCCTGTTCTTTTTGGAATTTTATTTCGTAGAATTTCCTTGATATTTCACTTGTGATATCTCACTAACATATTGAGTTCATTTATATTCTCTTTTTATTATAAACTTCATGTGAAGTTTTGCGTGTACTAAATTTTACGAAATCTACTTATACAATGACAATTTCTAAGCTCTCGTGTCTCTCATAAAAATGATGGCGGAAGACTGGATGATGTTGAAGTTGGACACAGAGAGGGATGTGATGCTGAAGCGAGCCCGCGTTGCCCGATTTATCGTTATTTGCGGATACACTTTGATGGTACTGTCGTTTGTTACAATCATCGTTTGTCCTTGTTTCGGATTACCCGTCAGACGCTTGACAAATATTACGGATCGGGCGAAACCGTTGCCGCTGCAGACATATTACATTTACGATACGGACAAGAGTCCGCAATTCGAACTCACAATCATCGTTCAAGGAGTGACAATACTTCTGGCAACCGTTGCTTACACGTCGGTGGACGCTTTTCTTGGACTCGTGATTTGTCACATTTGCGGCCAGTTGGAAAATTTCAGAACCCGACTGGTTAACTTGACTTCGTGCAAAGATTTCGATAGCGCTCTGCGCGACAGCGTCATCGCTCATTTGCGACTAATCAGGTTTTTGCATATTTTTGTTCTAATATTTAAAGGGTTTACATATTGGGACACGTGCGGGCATGTATTTCTCGATTAGAAAGGTAAAAATTATTTTATTTTTTGCTACTTTAGATAGACTCCCTCCTTTAATTTGTGATTCGTTAGAAGGTTTTCAAGTTCGTTTCTGCATAGATTTTTTGTGTTACTAACAATTTCTTACGTATTTGCAGATTTGCTAAGAAAATCGAAGATACATTCGCGTTGATGTTGTTAGGACTAGTATTTTATTTTGCTATAGTATTCTGTCTATATGGATTTTCTTTTTTTACTGTAAGTTTATGCAAATATGAGCTACATATATATGTTATTTATCTATATATTGTATATTTTCACGTTCATTTTATTTAAATAGTTATATCCAATTTATTTTTTATATATCTCGTTGCGCATCACCAACGTTCATAGTGAGTTATGTTATTCAGGTGATTACTGATAAAGAGACAAGCGAAGTTTCTATCTCACAAGCATGTTATGCGATGGTTGGTGTCGTAACGTTGTTGGCACATACGTTTCTTTATTGCGTTGCCGGTGAGATTATAACACAGCATGTAAGTAATAACAAACAATATAAATAAATTTGCAATAATCTGACATAGATGATATGTGATACACATGTTAAAGTGCGAGGCAGTTTTTCGCGCCATATACGATCTCAAGTGGTACAAATTGGAATCGAAAAAAGCGAAAAATCTTATTTTATTAATGATACGAGCTAACGAACCTTTTCGCATCACAGCGGGAAAAGTTATTCCATTAACAATGACTACTTTTTGCAACGTAAGAGCGAAATGATTTGCGATTGACATATACGGTAAACATGAAATGAAATGTAAAAACTACTTTTTTATAAATTTTGTACATAAATGTTTTAGCTGTTAAAATCATCTGTCGGCTACATATCGTTTCTTTTAGCAAAACGGGAATGACGTGTGTAAAGATCACTAATTTTCAGTAAAATAAGAAACTAAGAGTGCAAAATATGTGTTGGATTAAATAATTATACAAATTAAAAATTTTTCAAGTGTATTCTAACTCTAGAAGTGAGAAATATATATTGAAATTTTTTTTAGTTACTTAAGTGTTACTCCGTAATACCAGCATTTCTTTGACTGATCATCCAGTATCGTCATATTTTTGTAAATAACAAACACATATACACACACACATACACAGTTTATTTTTTTTTAAATTAAAAACTGATTGTAAAATATTTGTTTTAAAACTATACTTTTATGATTTATTCGACGTATTGTGTCAAAAAGATACTTTGTCGAAGATCTTCGTCGGAATATCTGAACCTACGCACCTTATGGAACATTATAATTTTTTTTCTCATCTTGTTCCTCAGTAGTTTTCTGTTCTAAATGGAATCTACAAAAACTTCAGCTATTATTAAAAGAAAAAAATATAGATGCAAACGATCCGCGCGAATACATTATTATAAGGATGAAAAACGTTAATATACCTCCTCTTTCCTACAGTTTTTCTACTTCCAGAACAATATACCTCCCTTTTTATGACTTATTCTTTTACTCGTGGAAGTTTTTTTATGAAACAAGAGCTACCATGTTTCACTTGGAAATAATGTGTGTAATATTTAATGCATTACTCGCGACAGAGAGTAAGTAGTTTCGCTCGCATATTAGATTGATGATCACTTTTTACACAGCAAAATAGTAAGAAATGAGTTGCGTCCCAGTAGACCGCGACATGGATATTTCCGCGCATTCAGGCTACCGAGGTATCGAGTGTTCATCACGATGTTTAGTATATCTTCTTAGCCTTCCATTCTTACGAAACGTGCAAATGATCGAAAATGTAAAACACAGTTTATTAAATATTTATAAAATTCTCTTTTAATGCGAGCAGTTTTTCGTTAGATTTTGTTTGGGCGGTTGAACTGAGTCGATTTGGTTTGGATCTCGTGGGTTTATGGCCGAAAACTGACAAAGCGGTCATCAATAACGTCGTTTCTGGTCTTCGCGCGCTCGTTACTTTTATTCTAATCATATTTTTTTGCCTTATTCCTCTTTTATGTTCTCTCGTGCGAGTATGGAACGACATGATACTCATCATAGACAATCTCCAAGCAACTCTACCGGTAGCTGCAATGTCTCTGAAAATCACCATCATGTGGTGGAAACGAAAAGGTACATAAATAAATCTAAAATAGACTACGTAAGTGCGAAAAATATATAGGGACCGTGGATATAAAATATACTACGTTTGCGTGCAATTCATATATAAAGTTTTTGACAGATTTTGGTATCCTTTTAGGCGCCTCGCTTATTATAGGAATGATAGCGGAAGATTGGATCGAAGTAAAAGAAGACGCGGAAAGAAAAGTGATGATAAGACGAGCACGATCTCTTCATCTGATCGCAATTTACGGATACGTTTCCATGACATTCGCCTACATAATGGTTATCATTCTACCTTTATTCGGTTTGCACTACAGATACATAACGAACTTCACCGATGGGGACAAAGCGCTGCCACTGCAAACGTATTATTTTTACGACACAACAAAAAGTCCGCTATTCGAACTCACGTACGCCGTTCAAGCCCTATCGATATTCTTGGGCCTAATCATATACACGTCGGTCGACTCTTTTTTTGGGCTTGCGATTTTTCATATTTCCGGTCAGTTGGAAATCTTCAATCGCAGAATGCTTACCTTGATTTCAAATAACAATTTCGACTGCGCTTTACGTAATAACGTAAAGATTCATCTACGACTAGTAAGGTTTTTGTAGATTTTATATTACTTATTACAATTAAACTGAATTTCGCATGTTTCTTTAATACAATTTTGTATACTAGCACAACACAGGCGCGCGCTACGGGCACGCTATTGTTATTTTTATTTAACGTGTTGTCAGTGAACACAACCTGTCACCGCGATGACAGATAGTATATACGTCTTATAAATAACGCATGAAAATCAAACTAAAAAAATAGTGAGAGAGAGAAGTGGAAAAACAACACGTGACTAAAGGCACGTGGAAAAGGGTAAAAAAGAGAATATTATATATATTATATGTAATATTCTATATCTGTATATAATACACACACATACGCATATATGTATATATATATATACCGTAATCACGTGACCGAAGTCAGTAACACCGCCGCGGTCGCGCGGCCGAGGTCAGTGACTCCACCGCAGTCGCGCGATCGAGGTCATTGACTCCGCCGCGGTCACGCGACCGAGGTCAGTGACCCTGCCAAGGTCGCGCGGCCGAGGTCAGTGACCCCGCCGCGGTCACGCGACCGAGGTCAGTGACCTTACGGTAGTATGTATATAATATATATAATATATAATATAAAGTATAACATCTAAATATATAATAAATTATATGTATAATATATATTATTTAATATATTATTTTTTTTTTTTTACAATTACAACTAACTGTCAAAATCGCTTCTCTGTCAAGATTTACTCTCTCAATCTTACCGATTCACTCACTTACTCACTTTTCAAATAATTCTATTCTTTTGCTTTTCACTATTATGTATCACCGCTAAGTTTCTTCACGTGTGTACGACGAACTGTCAAAATCACTTCTTTGTCCACGTCAATTTAGCATTCTCGAGTCTCGACTCGACTCGATTCGACTCTATCACTCAACTAATCGGCAACGCGGAAAAGAGGCAACAATAGGTGCGATAGATTCGACTCCAAACGCGCACTTCTCGGTCCTTTTTTATATAGGCGGATATGTAGTTGTGGCAATATAATTCTTTATATATTTACGAGTATTTTTACTATATACTGTTACAGATTTGCTGATAATATCGAAGATACATTAGCTTTCATGATGTTAGGATTGGTATTTTATTTTGCTATTGTGTTTTGTGTATACGGATTTCTATTAGTTTCTGTAAGTGTTCAAGAGTGAGGAAATAGATATTATACTATACTTAGCATACCTTCATTCGTTTTTCAGCAAAAACAATACATAGTCTCGGTTTACATTGCGTGACTTTCCTTACTTGACAAATTGCATTTGCAGATAATTTCTGATAATGAGACAAATAATATACCTGTTTCACGAAGATGTTTCTTAGCTGTGGCTGTTAGTGTTCTTTTTTTAAACACGTTTCTCTTGTGTGCTGCTGGAGAGATTGTAACACAGCAAGTAAGTTGTATATATGTGTATTTCCTATTTCATATAGACACTACAAAATAATGTAATTTGCTTTGCAAGTGTGAAGCATTATATCGTACTATATGCGATCTTGAGTGGTACAAACTAGAATCGAGAAAGCAGAAAATTATTATTTTACTGATGCTACGTGCCGGTAAACCTTTTCGTATTACAGCAGGAAAACTACTTCCACTAACGATGTCCACGTTTTGTAGCGTAAGCCTTTTTCTAATTTTGATAAATACAGTAATATTCGTTTGTAAGTTAATCGACGATGTCTAACTAGTGAAACTAATATTTGTAAAAATGGATGTCAAAGAAAAATCACTTATAAGTAAGTAGGTTATAAACGGAAATTACTGTATTTTTTATATTCTTAAGTAAAGTAATTTCAATATTTGCGTCTCGCTGAGTTTTACGACCTCATAGGTCAGAAACAATAGATATAATGTGAGAATAACTTGCCCCTAACTATTTTATGCGACTTTATGTTACATTAGTATTATATTGTGATTTTGACTTTTCATTGGTAATATTAACGAAACGTTTACGCAACGCATATATTGGAATTCTCCTATATGTATAACAATTTTCTTTTATGTGTCCATATATTTACAGTAGCCTCACTTTATGTTTTTAGTTAGTAAAAACATCTGCTGGCTATATGTCAGTTTTACTGGCAATGAGCGAATAAAATCGTAATGTGCTGTTATTTGCGGTAATACATCAAATTTATTTCTGGAAAACTATAGGTGGACTACTTACGATATAAATATAGTTAGTGATAATTAAAAATATAACTAATTGAATAGCTTAAGAGTAAAAATAAACTTGTTTATTGTTATTATTATAATAGTATTTATGATGTTATTTTATAGAACACGCATTATATTAATATTTGTAGCAGTGTATATAAATTAAAGAAACTAATACTTTTGATAAACAAACTAAACAATTTTGTTGTTTTTGTTGTCATTGTTTCGAAGAATATTTGTTTCACAAGATAGAAATTAGTGATTTATACTTATAATGATATTCATGTCTTAACTGTGAAAACTTCTCTTTAAAAACTTCTCACACGAGCATTTCTTTGACTGATTATCAGTATCGCCATATTTTTGTAAATAACAAACACTGTACCGAACACATATACACATTCACAAAACAGTTTATTTTTATTATTAAAAAATAGCTGTGAAAAAAAATATTCGTTTTAAATCCACCTTTACGTTACATTTATTCTACGTATTATGTCTCAAAAGATACTTCGTCGTAGACAATAAGAATATCTACATCTTTCCACCTTATGAGACATTATTTTCTAGTCTTTTTTTTCAGTACTGGGAATTTTTTTTTGGTCTTGTTTCTCAGTACTTTTTGTTCTACAAATCATCAGTTCAAAAAAAAAAAAATACAAAAACTTCAGCTATTATTAAGGGAGAGAAAGAAAAAAATATATATCCAAACGCATCGTACGTGTAGAGTGTTATAAGACACTCTACCTGTAGAGTGTTATAAAAAACCTATTATATCTCCTCCTTCTCAAAGTTTGACAAGTTGATAACGACCTATTGCAAGACAATATACTTCCCTTTTTATTCTTTAACTCGTGAAAGTTTTTTATGAAAAGAAAAGCTACCATGTTTCACTTGAAGATAATGTGTGTAATATTTAATGCAACAGATGGTAGGTTGTTTCGCTCGCATATTAAAAAAATGATCACTTTTCTCAGCAAAATGGAGAGAAATGAGCTGCGTCCCAGAAGTCTGTAACATGGATATTTCTGCGCATTTAGGCTATCGAGGTATCGACTTCATCACGATGTTTAGTATCTTTTTAGTCACTTACTGTTTACGAACTTGCAATGATCGAAATTGTGTAACAGTTTATTAAATATTTATATAATTGTCTTTTAATGCGGAAATTTCGTTAGATTATGTTTGGGCGGTTGAACTGAATCGATACGGTTTGGAGTTCGTTGGTTTATGGCCAAAAACTGACGAAGTAGCCAATAACGATCTTCGCGCAATCGTTACTTTTATTCTAGTCACTTTCTTTTGCTTTATTCCTCTTCTATGTTCTCTCGTGCGAGTGTGGAATGATATGATATTTATCATAGACAATCTTCAAGCGACTCTACCGGTAACTGTGGTTTTGGTGAAACTCATCATCATGTGGTGGAAACGAAAAGGTACGCAAATAAATTTAAGTTTAGATTTGTAATTACAAAAAAATACATAAGATACCCGAAAAAAATGTAATATTTTTGCACGCAATTATGAAGTGCTTGACACAATTTGGTGTTCTTTTAGGCGCCTCGCTTATTATGAGGATGATAGCGGAAGATTGGATCGAAGTAAAAGTAGACGCGGATAGGGACGTGATGATAAGACGAGCACAATCTGCCCGTCTGATCGTGATTTGCGGATACGTTTCAATGCTATTCACGTATATCATGATCATCATTCTTCCTGCGTTCGGTTTGCACTTTAGATATATAACGAACTTCACCGACGGGAACAAAGAACTGCCGCTGCAAACGTATTATTTTTACGACACGAGCAAAAGTCCACAATTCGAACTCACGTACGCCGTTCAAGCACTATCGATGTTTTTGGGCGTCATAACTTACACGTCGGTAGATGCATTCTTCGGGCTCGCAATCTTTCACATTTGCGGTCAGATGGAAAACTTCAAGCGCAGAATGCTTACCTTGATCTCAAATAAAAATTTCGACTGCGCTCTACGTAATAACGTAAAAATCCATCTACGACTAGTAAGGTTTTTTGTAGATTTTATCTTAATTGTTAAGATGAAACTGAATTGCACTGTCAGGTTCTATATGTTTTAGATGTGACAGTGATGTTATCTTAATATAAGGTTTTTTTATGTATAGCTTTGTATATGTGTGTGTGTATATATAGTTTTTTTATGTTTAAGATTAAGTATATATTTTTATACAGTTATTTATATATTTATCAGCATTTGCATACATACTTTTATAGATTTGCTAATAATGTCGAAGATACATTCGCTTTCATGATGTTGGGACTGGTATTTTATTTTGCTATTGTATTTTGTTTATACGGATTTGTATTAGTTTCTGTAAGTGTTCAAGAGTGAAGAAAAACATAACACATACTATACTTTGCGAATCTTTATTTTTTTTTCAACAAAAAGATATACAAACTGTCGATTTAGATATTGTACGATATTTCTACTAGACAAATCCCATTTGCAGATAATTTCTGGTAATGACACGAATAATATATCTGTTTCACGAAAATGTTTCGCAGTTTTGGTTGTTGTTATTCTGTTGTCATACACGCTTCTCTACTGTGCTGCTGGAGAAATTGTAACAGAGCAAGTAAGTTATTTACATTTACTTTTTCATAAAACATATATTTTTATATAAACACTATAAAATAATATAAATTGCATTGTCAGTGTGAAGCATTATATCGTACTTTATGCGATCTTGAGTGGTACAAATTAGAGTCGAGAAAGCAGAGTGTTATTATTTTATTGATGCTACGTGCCAATAAACCTTTTCGCATCACAGCAGGAAAACTATTTCCGTTAACGGTATCCACATTTTGCAGCGTAAGCTTTTTTTTATTTTTCTATTTTCTAGTTTTTGATAAATACTGGAGTTTCCGTTTGTAAGTTAATCTACAAGATTTAACTTAGTAAAACTATGTGGTGTTCGTATAAATGTGAGTGAAAAAGAAGTCACTTATAAATAAGTAGCTTATAAGCGGAGATTACTTTATTTACTAGTAATACTTTTAAGTAGAGTAACTCCAATTTTTGCGCCGCGCTGGGTTTTTAGGCCTCAGAGGTAAGAAAAAATTGAGGTAATGAAAATAACTTGCGCCCAACGACTTTACGTGACTTTGTGTTACATTAGTATTATATTAGTGTTACATTGTGAGATCAGCTTTTTATTCGAAATATAATCGAAATGTCTGTGCAGCGCGTATATTGGAGTTATCTTACTTCTATTGCATTTGTTTTTTATATGTCCATATATTTATAATAATCTTATATCACTTTATTTAGTTATTAAAAACATCTGCTGGCTACATATCATTTTTACTGGCAATGAGCGAATGAAATTATGATATTTTCTGTTACTTGCGGTAACACATCAAATATATTTCCTGAAAATTATAAATAGAATAATTGCAATTAAATTTATTTATCGTTATTATTATAATGATATTTATGATGTTATTTTACAGAAACATGCACTTAAGTATGTATATTATTAATATTTTGTAGTAGTTATTTAAATGAAATAAACTAATAATTTGATAAACTATCTCTGGGCAATTCTGTTATCATTATATCTAGAAGAATATTTTACTTCACCAAACAATAACAATATATAGTAGCATTTCTTTGACTGATTATGTAGTATCGCCATATTTTCATAACGAACACTATAACGAACACATACACACACATACACAAAACAGTTTCTTTTTGATTTAATAAAAAAATAGCTGCGTAAAATATACGTCGTACAACTACGTTTACGTTACATTTTTTATTCCACGTTTATTATGTCCAAATGATCTTACGTCGTCAGAATATCTGCACCTGTGCAACTTTGAAACATAAGTTTTTTTCTCATCTTGTTTCTCAATATTTTTCTGTTCTAAATGGCATCAAAAAAAACTTTCCCTATAATTAAGAGGGAAACAAAGAAATATAGATGCAAACTCGCCCCGTGAGTAAAGTATTATAAGACATAAAAAACCTAATATACCACCACCTTTTCAAAGTTTGACGAGGTAACGATCTATTGCAGACACTATACTTCCCTTTTTATTCTTTTACTCGCGGAAGTTTTTTATGACACGGAGAGCTATCATGTTTCCGTTGGAAATAATGTGTGAAATATTTAATGCATTTCTCGCGACAAGGAATAGCTTGTTTCGGTCGCATATTGGAGTGATGATCACTTGTCACAAACAGCAAAATAGTAGAAAATGAATTGCGTCCCAGAAGTCTAGTCGAAAACACAGTCGCAATCGGACACAGTCGCACTCGGACACAGTCTCAATCGGACACAGTCTCTATCGGACACAAACGCAATTGGACAGAGTCGCAATCGGACACAAACACAATTGGACACAGTTGCAATCGGACACAAACGCAATTGGACACAGTTGCAATTGGACACAGACGCAATCGGACACAGTCTCAATCGGACACAGTCGCTATCGGACACAAACACAATTGGACACAGTTGCAATCGGACACAAACGCAATTGGACACAGTTGCAATAGGACACAGACGCAATCGGACACAGTCGCACTCGGACACAGTCGCATTCGGACAGTCTCAATTGGACACAGTCGCACTTGGACACAAACACAATTCGACACAATCTCGATCAGACACAGTCTCGATCGGACACAGTCGCAATCGGACACAGTCTCGATTGGACACAGACACAATTGGACACAGACGCAATCGGACACAGTCGCTATCGGACACAAACACAATTGGACACAGTCGCATTCGGACAATCTCAATTGGACACAGTCGCACTTGGACACAAACACAATTGGACACAGTCTCGATCGGACACAGTCGCAATCGGACACAGTCTCGATTGGACACAGACACAATTGGACACAGACGCAATCGGACACAGTCGCAATCGAACACAGTCGCATTTGGACAGTCTCAATTGGACAAAGTCTCAATCGGACACAGTCGCAATCGGACACAGTCTCAATCGAACGCGATATTCATCTATATAACGATTTCAGTAGAAAATAACTTATCTTGTTACATATACTAAACGTGTAGATGTGTTAGTTGTGTACATGCACAGTTTTGCAAATGGCGTCGAACCCTAAAAACCTATTTCTTTGAGCGGATTCCTTCCTAATGAACCGTAAAATTCGGGACTTTTGTATCACGGAGTTCGATCTCCTTCCTCTTACTTCGTGGGCTTTTCCTATCTCTATTCCTTCCCTTGTGCAAGGAGCTTAAGCAGTCGTGCTTCTGGGCTACGTTCCAAAATTCTACTCTGAGTAGCTGAGTTGACTCTGGCTGCTTTCCTTTTAGGAAACAAAGTCGATATAAGTCGACTAGAGTCCCTGGAAATAAGAGTCTGGCCAATGTTGTCAAACTTTTCATTGGTTCTGAAACAAAATGGCGGAACCAATGGATAACGTTATAGCCACACATTAAATTTGATTTAAATAACAGTAT